GTTTCAAGTGGAGACTGTCTGGGAGGCTCCTGGGCTGAGGCGCATGATTTCAGTGTGGAGCGAAGGATTAGGCCTTCCCTAGATCTTGTGATGAAACCAGAGCAGGTGAGCCAGTACATACAAGCTCTCCTTTTTCAGGGATGGGTTGTTTGTCCTGGGCCTGAAGCAGGTCAGCTCCAGTACAGCAGTCTCAGGACACTGGTTGAGAAGAGCCCAGTAGGCCCTCAAAATGCTCTTCTTCAACCTTCAGGGCCAAGGCAGAAAGATGGAACAGATGGAATCTTAATGGAAGGAATCCTCAAATGGGGGTACAGGACAGGCTCCTGCCCTCCCCTGTCTACCTCTCACATTACAGAAAATAGAAGACAAAAGAGAAAATGGCAGCTTTCATCAAATGGAAACTCCATCACCAATCTCTAATCCTACCTGCTTTAGCACCCATCTTTTCCATCTTCTCTGTCTTCCTTCATGCTATAGGGTGAGTTTTCTTTTTCCTCCAAAAAGGCCAATACCCCCACATGTGCTCTGGATCCCATGCCTTCTCTGACCCGGGGACTGTTCTTTCTATTCCGTCTCCCTCTCCTGCATCTTCCCTTCTCCCTTTCTCTACTGGATCACTGCTGTAGCATACGGAAAGCTGTAGCGGTTGCCATATTTAAAAAACAAACCCCAAAAAACCTTCCCTCGATCTCATATGCTACTCCAGCCACTATCCTATCACTCTGCTCCACATCACAGTCAAATTAGGGAAGGAGTTGGTGTCTCCATTTTGTCACCATTCAATCATTCTTAAAATTTTAATTACACATGATTTTGTGATTTCATTGTGTAACATACCAAAGAACCTATGGACCATATGTAAATTATGAAGCATAATAGAAATGAACATCTGTAAACCCACAACCCAATCTAAGAACTAAAGCCTTGTTAACAGTGTTGAATAGACCTACGTGCGCCTCCTCCCCTACGCCATTCCCTGCCTCCAAAATTATGACCACTGTAGTCAAACTTCTGAAAACCAAGGAGAAAAATCTTAAAAGCAGCCAGAGAATAAAGGTCACAATACATTCAGGGCAACAACAATAAAAACAATGGCTGCTTCTCATCAGAAACAATGGCAGTCAGTAGAGTGTGGAATGATAGTTCCTAAAGGCTAAAAGAAACAAACAAAATTCAACTTAGAATTCTATATCCAGTGAAAAAAGTATCTTTCAAAAATGAAGGTAAAATAAAGATATTTTCAGACACATGAAGCTGACAGCATCAGTTACCAGGAGGTCTGTACTCCATGAAATTCTAAAGGAAGCTCTTCTCCTGCAGGGAAATGGTGCTGGACTGAAACCGGGATGTGAGGAAGGAACCAAGAACACCAGAACTACTAAGCATACGGGTAAATAAAAAATACTGTTTTTTGTCTTAAATTTTTCAAAGTGAGGCCACTTTTAAGACATTCAGGGGCCCCAAGATGAGAGGATTATGGTGCCCCTGCCCAAATATAATTCACAATTAAATCTAAAATAAACCAAGAATGTAAGGAAGTTAATTAAGTTCTGACTTATCCCATGGTAACTATTTCAATGCTTTAAAAAACTGTAATTCTTAAAATATTTTTTCTCTTAATTTTTGGGGCCTCTACTTGCTAGTACCTTAAACACATACTTGATTTGATTCCTAGGTTATCCAGCACTGGTTGGCAGCCAGTCTAGAGCATCAAACTCAGAAGAGACTCGGCTATAAATGCCTCAAGCAGTGAGCGAGGCCCAGCACCAGTGAAGATGACCAACCTCCTGAGGTTTCCTCTGCCCTCTGGGGTGAACCATGACAACTGGTTACCCTAACTAGGACCCAGAAGGAGGTCTCAAGGAGAGAGGTGGCCCTGAGAGCAGCAGACAAACAACAGAGTTTTGCTGTGGGCAAGAAAGAAAAAAGGCTAAAAAGTGTGAGACCTATCTTCTCAAACTAGACCTGCCCCTTCATTGAGGGGAAAATTCTTATTTCTCTTTCTCCCACACTTTGTATGTTATGTTTAACAGATCAAAGACAGTATGTCCCCCTGGGAGTTGGCACATGAGGAAGGTAGAAACACTAAAGCAGGAACAGTGCTTCTGCTTGGCAGGTGAGGGATGACAGCGCAGACTAAGTGGCTCACAGACCTCCCTTCCTATGGCTCACTGACACTTCACCCCCTTGGCTAGGAGGGGAAGAGGAAAAGGGAACTAAGAGTGTCCACTTCTTTCCTCTAGGGTGATTCTTGCCATCATCCTATTAGGTAAGAAGTATGTTACCCTGCTGTTACTTGTAAGGAAACTGAGACTCAGAAAGGTCAAGTCACTTGCCCGAAGTCACTTAGCTACCTAGCAGCAGATTGAGTATTCCACCTCATGGATGTCTCACTCAAAAGCTTGTGCTTGGAGCCGGGACACAGTCCTGTGACCCTAGCATAAATGCTGATGGGTATGTATGGGACATGCCAGGGAAGACGCAGAGAGAAAGGATGAGCTGGTGACCACAAACCAGAGTAGCAATAAAGGCCACAAAACGTAGAGCTCCTGGGTGGGGACTGGCACCTCTCCTCCTCTAGGGAAGGCTTTGCGCATGTGATAAAAACTGCGATGTGTGGGAACTGAGACTGATCCATGTGCCAAACAAATGGCATGACCTGAAAATGGTGCTGGGGGAGCTGAGGGACAGAGGGGGAAGGAAAATGGGGAAATGGATCAGACGTCTGATGGCTTCTCTTTAGGACTATAACCCCAAACTCTGGGGGTACTTCTGGACTGACCCTATCTGTCATCAAAGTAGGCTCTAGAAAAGCATAAAAAATATTAAATGTTAATTGCAAAATGAAGTCTATTTAAAAGAAGGCAAACTGGCTAGAAAAATATGCCAGAAGCCACGCGTCATGACTTCAGAGCCGTATAAGGGAAGCATGGAGTTTGGAGTCACATGTTCAGAGCCACTGGTTGGGACACCCTGGGCAAGTGACTTAACCTTTGTGTGTCTCAGTTTTTATAGAAAAGAGACATAATAACACCTTGTAGGTCTTCAGGCTGAAAAGAGCCTCAGTTTTCTCATCTATTAAATGGGGATAACAATGGTACCCATCTCACTGGGTTGTGGGGAGAATGAGATGAGTTTACACATGTAAGGAACTTAAAATAATGTCTAGTGCATAGCAAGTGTTAAATAGGGGTTAGCTATTACAATTAATAATAAACAAGCTAACGTATTCTGTTCGTAGTATGTATTATTCTCTGAAATCATCTTGTTTTTCAAAAAGTTCCAAGGGCAGGGGCTTTGTGACTCGTTCAGCCCGGACCTAGAACGGTGCCCGGCACACGGCGGCACTGTATGGCTCCTTTCTCCACTACATCTCTGCAATCCCCCTTTCAGGATCACCAACCACCATCACGCGGCCCACCCTGAAAGACGCCTGTTCTCCGTTCAGCACCTGGGGTGAATTCTTCACAATTTAAATTGCTCTCACTCCCCTGCTTAACACACTTCCATGGCTGTCCTCGCATTTAGAATAAAATCTAAATTCTTTTCTACGGTTTCCAAATCCTGGATGATCGGTGCCCTTTGACCTCATTAGATCCATCTCTATGTTCCAGTGCCACCGCCTTTGTCTCAGTTCCTAGGTCATGTTAAGCTCTTTCAGCCTCAGGGTCTTTGCATTTGCTCTTCTCTCTGCCTGGAATATTCCTCTCCAAGTTCCTTACAGGGCTGGCTCCTTCTCAGGATAGTGCAGTAGTTAGATTTTGAAACCAGACTGCCTGGGCTCCAATTCCAGCTGTACCACTTAGCACCTGTGTGAGGCAAGTTTCCTGACCTCTTTGGGCCTCAGTTTTCTCACCTTAAAATAGGGATAGAAATACGGACTTCAGGTTGCTGAATTAAATGAATTAATATAAAGTGCTTTGAATAGTGCCTGACCCTGGCAGGCACCACCATGATCACCATCCTTCTGCATAAACACTGCCCACTCAGAGAGACCCTATTCTTTATCAGAGCACCTAGTACTCATTGCAATCTGTAAACATTTTATTTTTTGTTTACTCTCTGTGTTCCATGAAGATGGGGAATTTGTCTTGTTAACTACTGTATGCTCAGCGCCTAGCACAATGCCTGATACAGCGTAGGTACTCAATAACTACATGCTGAATGATTAGAAAAATGTTTTTGTTTTTGAGGAAGATTAGCCCTGACCTAACTGCTGCCAAGCCTCCTCTTTTTGCTGAGGAAGACTGGCCCTGAGCTAACATCCATGCCCATCTTCCTCTACTTTATATGTGGGACACCTGCCACAGCATGGCTTACCAAGCGGTGCCAGGTCTGCACCCAGAATTCGAACTGGCGAACCCCGGGCTGCTGAAGCAGAATGTGAGAACTTAACTGCTGTGCCACCAGGCCGGCCCCAAAAAGTGGTTATTATTATTATTTTTTCTTGCCACCTTTGCAAGAAAGGTCAGGTGCTGTACTAAGGCAGAAAAGAAGAGAGCTGGGGTTTGTATCAGGGTTCCAACCACCTAACTCAGCTGGATGATGACTAGTTACGAGGTGTTTTGTAAACAACAAATAGGTATACCACTGATATTATTGTCTTCATCCAGACCGTACTCCTCAGTCAAGGTCCTCTGTGGTTGCATTTCCTGTCTGAAGCTTCCTCTGCTCATGTCCACCTTTGCTTCTCTGGAGCTCCCACAGCACTCAGTATGCATTTCTTAGCTGTGTCCTTCTTTTAGGCTTCTGCACTGTTTCTTCCATATGTCGTCTTAGCTGACAATGCCCTGCTCTTAACACATTTGCTCTTCCTCGCCATTCCTGAGCTCCTTGCCCACTGTTGGGCCACCGAATATGCTCAGTACAAGCTTGAAAAGTGACCACTGCTGCTGCCTTTTTGGGAAGCTGGCCTATGGCAGCTCTACATTCTGTATACACCTTCATGGAAGAGATGAAGTCTCTATAGGAGATAGGAGGCCACACAGCTATTATCTTACCTGATCTGTCGTGGCAGGTGGTGGCAAAGCTGCAGAGAGTGAGAGCATCCGCAGGGAGGCCTCCAACTGCTGGGGAGGCAAAAAGAAGTTGGGCACGACAATGGGCTCTGGGCTATAATCGTAGTTAAGGGACACAAATACCTAGAAATCTACCGCCTTGCTAGAACAGCATCTCCACTGACCTCAGTCATCCCTATTCATCTTTACCCCCAACTTATCCCGGCCTAAGAATCCTTTGCTCAAGTGGTTCCCACTGCCTGGAGGGCCCTACCTACTCCTAACAAATCATAGTCTACACTTTCTTTACGGGTCAGTTCAAATCCTGCCTCCTCCAGGAAGCCTTCTCCTAAGTGTAGCCGACGGCGACCCCTCCTTCTGCAGAGTCTAGAACACAGTCTGCAACACAGGCTAATGCTTGATTATCTGTCTGATACGATTCTCAGTTTGTTTCCCTCGGTATTCCCTAAGCTTCTCAAGGCACACATAGTGCCCTTCCCTTGATTTACCTCACTACTCTCCTACAGCCCTGCACGAGGCTGGCAGGTAGCAAGTGCTGAATGATACTTGCTGAGGGCCTGCTGGCCAAAGTCTGACCTGTTAGTAGTCAGTCAGACAGGCTGGGGTGGGAAGGTGGCTCCAGGGGCAGTATCTTAGGCTGGAGGGAGATGCTTGGTACTGAAGGAGGGCCTGTCTTTCTGGTTGTTCTCAGCTCACATCCAGAACTGAGGCTTCCGCATAATGGGCTGTCTGTGGGCACAGCTGGTCCACCCAGTCTGGATGTGAGCCCTAGAAGGCAGGTACCATATCCTGTACTTCTCCATACCCTCTGGAGGTACCTAGTACTGTGTAGAGAACATGGTGTTCCTCAAACATTTGTTTGATTGAAGCACTAATTCAGTTTGGGAGGGGAGGAAGGGGACTATTTGAATGTCCCAACTTCTTGTTTCTAAGCTAAGTATGGTTCTGATTCAGATTGGTTTATCATTGTTCTTTCATGGTAGACTTCGAACTCCAAGAGGGCAAAGATGATCACTTTTTCATAGCCACATTCCTGTCACCTAGCATAGTACCTGGGACACAGTGTTCAATAAATATCTGCTGTATGAATGAAGTGCATCATTTCCTACTTTGCTTCAAGGCCCTGATGTTTCTACTGCGAGGTGGGAGTGGAGTTGAAGACCCTGAAGGGCATAAACCCCCTGAGCCAAGCCTTCTTCAGAGGCCCAGGTGAGGTTGGGCCTATTTGCTGCTGCTGCTCTGACTGCTGGGGACTCTGCCAGAAAGTCAGCTGATGCTGTGGGGAAGGGACAGCTTTGCTGGGAGGTGTCATGGGGGTGCCTGAAGCACCAAAGCTCCCCTTCCCAGCCCATCACCTCTTGCCTTCCTAAGGGTCCTGTTCCAACCTCTGTCACTTACTGGGTGGTAACTTCAGGAAAGTCCATTTTTCGTGCCTGTTTCTTCACCTGTAAAATGGATACTATAACAGTACCTTCGTTTTGAGGATTAAATGAGTTTATATACGCAAAGTGCTTAGAATGGTGCCTGACATAGCATGCGCTCAATAAATGTCAGCTATTCTCATCTCCCCAGGTTATGGGAAAAAGTTGCCTGTTCTCACTGTCCTTACTACAGGTTCCGTCACCCACTGAAGTCTGCCTTCCACTCCCATCTTTGCACTGTCCTCCTTAATGCTAAAGCTAGCGAATACATATCAGTCCACATTCCAGTGGGCCTGTCTTAAGTGTCAGAGCACTGACCACCTCTCCCTGGAACTCTGCTCCCACCTCTCTGACCAGCTCTTCTCCGGCTCCTCTGTGGGTGTGTCTGTTCTGCCTGCCCTCACATACGGGTGATCCTCAGGGCTCCACCTTGTGTGCGGGGGTCTCCTTTCCCTGCTCTCCCTGCTGCCATTCTCTATTTCCAGAGACACCTACTGCTACAGCTGAACTCCTAACCTCCAGGCCTGCATCTCCTCCTGGATGTCCTACAGGCGTATGTTCAAAATGGAAATCTGTCACCTCCCCCCAGACTGTCTATCTTTATGTGCTGTTCCGTATCCAGTAAAGGACGTCAGCTACCTAGTAACTTTTGAGAGAAATCTCTAAGCCATACTTTCTATTTCCCTCTTTCTCATCCCCTGCCCCTCCCTATCCAAACCTCTCAAATCTCTCCCTCCTCTTTATCGTAAAGCAGTCTATGCTTGAGGTTGGACTTTCTTCACCTTTTATTATTATTGCAAATTTCTTACCTGGTCTCCTTGCTTCTAGTCTCCTCTGACCTAATCCACCCTCTACAAGGTATTGGGGGACTTTTTCTTTTTTTTCTTTTTGAGGAAGATTAGCCCTGAGCTAACTACTGCCAGTCCTCCTCTTTTTGCTGAGGAAGCCTGGTCCTGAGCTAACATCCGCGCCCATCTTCCTCTATTTTATACATGGGACGTCTACCACAGCATGGCTTGCCAAACGGTGCCATGTCCACACCCGGGATCCGAACCAGCGAACCCCAGGCCACCGAGAAGCGGAACATGTGAACTTACCCGTGGCACCACCGGGCCGGCCCCTATTGGGGGACTTTTTTAATATATAAATCTGACCAATCATACTCTTGCTTACCAGTTAACATTTAATGAACACTATTTATGTACCAGGCACTATGCTAAGTAGTTTACATCATTAATTTCTTTTAATTTCAATTTCCACAAGGGAAGTACTATTACCAACTCCATTTTAAAGATAAGGAAACTGAAGTTTAATTTGCTTACAGGATAGAGTCAAGCATCTCATCAAGGCATAAAAAGCCCCTTAAGATCTAGCCCAGACTCATTTCTCACCATCCCACTTACCCGTGGGCTCTAACCACAGGGAACTGCTGTCCACAGGCCAGGCCCTTTCACTTGGCTATGCCTCTGCACAAAGTTTGCCATGACTAGAACTTCTCTTGTCTCTGCCTAGAGAATGCCTCTTCATCACTAAGGTCCAGCTCTACTGTCCAGCTCTTCCTGGGATACCTCCAAAGACGGTAATGGCAGCTTCCTCTTCTTGCTCCCTAGCATTGTGTCCACGTCTCATCACAGCACTTAGGACAACAAGCTGGCACTGCCTGTTTACTGTTACTGTCATTACCTGTCTCCTACTTCATAATGGGAACTGCTCAAGGTATGGTCTGATTCAAATCTCTGTCCTCAATATGCAGCACAGGGCCTGGCAATACTCATTTTTGGAAAGAATCAATAGCCGAGGTCTGAATTAAAGCAGTACCCTTACGACCTGGGCACACGTGCCTGCTCCTCCACAGACCACACATTCTGACACAACTACACTGACTGTAGAGGCAGCAGTGTCAGAAGCCAGGATGACTGAGGCCAGGAGGCAGTCTGCTTTCAGCGCTCCCCCTCCAGCCATTGCATGCGTTAAGACTTTCCTGAGCCCAAACCCCCTACCCTTGGTGTCACTCTGCCCTTCAACAAGAATCACATCTGTTTAGTGTGTACAAATGTCTCCACTCATTTGATCTTCTCAAGAATCCTGTGAAACCCGGATAGTTCAGTTCAGTTTATATTCACTGATCCTTCTCTGTGCAATGTCTGGTGCTGACACAGAAAAAGACAAGGCCCCTGACCTACATGGGAGTGTACAGTCTGGTGGGTAAGGGATTACTGCCTCCATCTTACAGGTGAAGAAACTGAGGCTCTTCAGTTAAAAGGTTAAAGTCACACAAGTAATAAGAAGCTGGGTCTAGACGGGGTCAAATTCAGGCCCCCTGACTTCGAGTAGAGAAAGGTCTATTCAGTAAAGCAGCCTGCTTCCCCTACCAGCCGTGCAATAACCCCTTCTTGTTGTCAGGATTCCAAGTGAGCTGATCTGATCAGCTGGTTAGGCTATAGATGTGAAGGCTGTGCATGGTCCTAAGTGGTTTCTTTCCCCCATAACATGTTCATTTGCATTTCAAAGGAGGAAGAGGGGGAATGTTGGGGTGCCCTTTCTCCCTATCAACGCTGCCATACTTGGGGGGGGTGCTTCGGTAAGTCCATTTCAACTGCGCCCACTTCCCCTCCCCCCGACTCCATCACTTGCCTTTTTTTAAAAAAAATTAAATATTAGGCAAGTCACTATAACTCTGAGCTTCAGTTTTCTTACATGCAAAATGGAAACGATGATATCGACCTTAAAGGCTTGTGATGACTGAATGAAAAATGTATGTAAAGGGCCTGGCACATAGTAAACGCTCCATCAGTAGTGGGAGTACTCTTCTGTCCCCTCTCTCTCCACACCCTCCATCTCTACTGCAACTGAGATTAATGGTCTCATTCCTAGATCCAGAGCCTTGTCTTCAGGTGTAAAATACCGAATAGAGTGACCAGATAAATCCGGCCATGCTAGGCTAATGAATGTGCTACCAACACCTCAACCCAGTTCAAAGCATTAGGCCTCAGAGGGCTGGCGTTCGTGGTAGAACTGCAGCACCTTGTCCGTGTGGGCGAGCCGAGTCTTCTGAAGGAACAGGCTCTTCCCGTGCCGCGCAGCACATTCCACGAGGGTGGCCACTGCTCACGCTCACACTTACACTAGGCTGGCCTAAGCACTACCATCCAAAATGCCTAGTGATGGCTTAAGGGGCTACTAGTGAGAAACACCAAAGGATACAGGAGGCTCTGCCTTGTGGACATCTCTGATCCAGATGTCGCCTGCTTCTGCTTGTTGTCAGGGCGTTTGATGGGTGGTCCCTTATTTTCTCTTCTGCTCTGGGAGGCTAGATGTAGAGGGAATTTCTCGAAGCTATCAGTAGAGTCACTTAGCTCACTGGAGGCAGCTTCATTCCCAGCCTGGGCCTCTGGCTTGGGTTCCTGGTCCTGATCTACCCTTGGTGAGCTCCAATCAACAAAGGTATTGCTCTGTTTGGCTCCTGAGAGTGTCATGGATGAGATGAGCTGAGGGTCTGCTGAGGCAGGCTCTCCAACCCTGGCCCTAGGGGATTTATCCTCACAAAGAACAAGACTTTGGCTAGGAGAACCCTGCCTAGGCAGGTGGGGACTGACAGTCCTTTCTGGGCTAGACAGAGGGCTACTTCTGCCCTTGAGCTCCTCTCTGGGGAAAGGTTCTGAAGGACAAGAGGGGCCTTCCTTCTGCACCTCACCAGGCTGAAGGCTGATGATCTCACTTGTGTCTGACATGAAACTGGACCAAGGGCTAGTTTTGTCTGTCACAGTGGTGATGTCATTGAGAGTCCTGGGCTCAATGATGTCTTCTTCATAGTCCTCATCACTGTAGGCTGGGCCTGCCTCAGTGTCCTCACTGCTCTGCATCCTTGTAATGGGTATTGTGTGCCCCAGGGACTCACGGAGCATTCCTCCTCCACTGGAAGTGTCTTCAAGAGCAGGGGGAGGCAGGGAGTTTCTGCCCTCATCTGGAGCTCCTGCCAATGGCTGGTCTGGAGTTGTGCTTCGTTCCTGCGTGGCCACTGTGTCCTGAGCATCTGGTAGGGTGCTGACCTCTCTGCTTCTACTTCTGGCTTGGTGAGAACTCAAAGATGCTTGAGAATTCCTGGTGATAGTCTGCAGATCTGAACAGCAACAGATATCGCTCTTACTACAAGGTAGGGCCAGAGACCACTCAACTTTCCCACATTAGCCTCTAGCTTCAGATGTATTCTTACAATCAGACTTTGAACAAATGTTAAAGATAGTTAATCCCCCCAAGAGTCAGTGAAACTATATTCAAGGCAGTACAATTTCTAGCACTTTATTCTAACATCCCAGGACCAAAATCTAATCTATGTATAGTTGTGGTTACATCTGTGGGAGCGCTTTCAGAGACTATCTGCTCATGCTCAGGAACTCTTGGGTGCTGGGAGTCCTGGTGGGTATGTTCATGCTTCCATTTACTTCAGTAAATACCTATATTAAAAACCAAAATGAGAAGCCACTTATTTACCCGTTTGATGACAGTTATTAGAACTATCTATTTTACTTAGAAAATAGAAGCAAGGAAATATCTATCACCCAAATGATAAGGCAGGGGAAGAGTGTTGGAACGAGCAGAGGCTTTGGTGCCAGTCATCGGGTTCAAATCTCTACCATCACTTGGCCACTTTGTGGTCACAAGCAAACAGTTTTCTCTGAGCCTGTTTATGTTTAAAATGTGATTAACACCACCCTTTTCACAGGGGCATGGTAAAGAATACACGAGATAAATGGGCAAACATTGTGAAGCACATCTATAAACACTTAATAAATGGAAGCTACTAGTCACCTCAGGTTGTTTTGGGGATGAAATGGGGGAAATAAATTAATAAATAGGCCTAATAAATGACTTGTTTGTATGATTATTCGAGAGGAGAAAGGAATTGGAAAGCAAACTTGACTCCCGTGGTGTATGGGTCACAACTCCCTCAAAGCACCTAATGGAGTGCTGAGCCTACAGGAGGTGCTGGCTGAGTTTAATACATGAATAATTTTTAGGTCTCAAATGGGAGTAGATACATGAAAATGGAACATCCCTACCTGACAATAAAAACAGGAACTGGGAAGCAGACTTAATTGATCATGATCCTTTGGCCTGAACTACTCTTTCTGTCTTGGAACAGTCTTCCTGCTTTTTACATATCAGCCCATCCTTCAAGGCCCTGCTCTACTGCATCTCCTCCAGGAAGCCTTCCCAGATGCACCAGTTGGATGGGATAGCTATATGGCTTTGTTCTATAAGGAAGCACTTAAGAACACACTATTGTGTAATCTTCTGTCTGTATGTCTCTCCCATCAGATTGTGAGCTTCTCAAAGGCAGAGACCATATGTCTGATTTCTGTTGCATTTTCAGGGCCCAGCAAAGGACCTGGCATACAGATGTGGCATAAATGAAACCCCTACTCAGAAACTCACTCGCAAGCTTCACTCATATCTACTTGTCTAAGGACTTCTTCAAAAGTGTACTGAGGGGCTGGCCTGGTGGCACAGCAGTTAAGTTTGCAAGTTCTGCTTCAGTGGCCCAGGGTTCGCGGGTTTGGATCCTCGGGTGGACCTATGCACCGCTCGGCACACCATGCTGTGGCAGGCGTCCCACATATAAAGCAGAGGAAGACGAGCATGGATGTTAGCTCAGGCCAGTCTTGCTCAGCAAAAACAAAACAAAACAAAACAAAACAAAAACAGGAGGGTTGGTGGCAGATGTTAGCTCAGGGCTTATCTTCCTCAAAAAAAAAAGTGTACTGAGACATGATGGAGGCAGGGGGAGTTTGTTTGTTTAAACTGGTTTCCCTGATCCAATCACCTCTCTTTCAAAATTCATCCTCTCCTTGTGAAAATCAGTTCTCCTCCAGTCATCCCCCTGCTTAGAACTCCCCATTTCTTCGAGGATAGAGATTAAACTCCCAAATTTGGCTTCAAGGCTCTCCACTTCAATCCTTCAGTTCTCTCCTCTCTTCTCTTCTAATATACCCCTCTAAAGGGATTCCCTATTTGCCCTCACCTCTACCCCAAACAAGCCTCCCTCTGTTTTGCTCTTATTCTTTCTTTCTGGGGGGCAGTTTCTTTGGTTGACTATGGAATGTATGCTTGATGAAAGCAGAGACAATGCCTGTCTTGTCTACTGCTGTATCCTCCTGGAACTAGTAACACAACAGTGCCTGCCATGGTTGGTGCTCAACCAGGAGCTGACTGAATATTTCCAGGCAAGTGGAAGCCAAATACAGAGCACACCTCTGGGACCCTGGCTACCAACAGCTTAGATATTTGGGAAAAGAGGGTAGGAAGGTTTGTACCTAATACCAACCATGGTGGCTTTATTGAGCTTATTCATCCCTGTGTAAAATCTACACATTTTGCTTGAGCAAAAATGACACCAGGTGAGGGCTAAAGGTGCTGATCTAATTGATTTCTCAATATTCCCCAAAGCGTGCCTGATATATGTTTCCAGGCCCTAATTCTGGATTCTGATTCTGTAGGATGGAGCATGACCCAAGAATCTGTATTTCAAAACAAGTACCCCAGGTGATCCTTATGTTCAGGCAAGTTTGGGAAATACTTGTTCTCGAGCAGTCTCTGTCTGGGCTGCACAGTGGAGTTACCTGGGGAGTTCTGATGCCTGAATCCCACTCTCAGGGATCCTGATGCAACTGACCTCCAGTGCAGCCTGGGCACCTGGAGTTCTAAAAGCTCCCTTAGTAATTCCAACATGTAGCCAAAGTGAGGATCACTGCTTTAAGGGGTTTTTCAGAAGGTGGACTGTGGACCACCACCATCCTGAATCATGTGGGTTGCTTGAAAAAATGCAGACTTCCAGGGGCCGGCCCGGTGGTGCAGCAGTTAAGTTCGCACATTTTGCTTTGGTGGCCCAGGGTTCGCCGGTTCGGATCCAGGGTGTGGACATGGCACCGCTTGGCAAAAAGCCATGCTGTGGTAGGCGTCCCACATATAAAGTAGAGGAGGATGGGCACGGATGTTAGCTAAGGGCTAATCTTTCTCAAAAAAAAAAAGCAGACTTCTGGGCTCTGAGAAATAGAATTTTAAATATGTCTGAAGTTGATATTTCTGAAAACAGAGTGGCACAAGTTCAAAAACTGCTACTGAAGAACTCATCTAATCCATCCCCCACCTCCCCTTTTGGCTGGGGGAACCTCAAGAAGGGAAAGGGTAAACTGAGTCAAACAGTAAGTCCATGCCAGAGTCCCACCAAAGACCTGAGCCAGGTCTCCTGCCTCTCAGTCCAATGCTCTTTTCATTGCACATGTTCCTGTGCCACGCTACTACGTCTCTCATTGCAAAAGGAAGACAGTAAATAAAAAAGTTAGATGGCAAAAGCTATTGGTCTCTATTGGTCACAGGGGCTTGTCTGAGGGCAGACATTCAAACGCTTTTGCATAGGTACCCAGTGACCATAACTCCTCAACAAGAGGGGCCCTGAGCCATACCTGTAATTAAAGAGCTGACTTGCAATACCAGGTTATTGGATTTCTCCAGGAGGCACTGGCTTTCAGGGTCCAGGCTGCTGGCTCCTGGCCTGAGATGGTCCCTATGGCTCTCCTGGCACTGCAACACAGCACGAGTCTGAGGACTGAGGGGAAGTAAAGGCTTGGTGAGCTTCTGGCTGAAGTATCGCTGGATCTGATCAAGCTCATTCAGATTCCTCCTAAAAAAAAGGGGAGAAAAGGACAAAAGGGTCATTCACTGGAATTACAAGCATCTTTTATGTTCCCCTGACATTCTACTACTTGTGCTAGGACCTTAATACCTCTCACTTGATTTATTAATACTAGAGCCCTCTCTCTCCAATCCACCAATTCATCCTTCACCTCTCTGACTACAACCTCACAGCTGGGGACAACTTTCTCCCTCTCCTGTCTGGTTAATCCAATTTCTGTTCTGATGTCCAGTAGAAATTCCACCTTCTTAGGGGCTGGCCTGGTGGTGTAGTGGTTAAGTTCATGTGCTCCGCTTTGGCGGCCTGGGGTTTGTGGGTTCAGATCCCAGGTGCAGACCTACACACTGCTCATCAAGCCATGCTGTGGCAGTATCCCACATACAAAATAGAGAAAGATTGCCACAGATGTTAGCTCAGGGCAAATCTTCCTCAAGTAAAAAGAGGAAGATGACAACAGATGTTAGCTCAGGGCCAATATTCCTCACCAAAAAAAAAAACAAAAACAAAAGAAAAAGAAAAATTCCACCTTCTTGTAGGGAGCCATTCTTTACCATCATTCCAGTCCTCACATTCTCTTGCTCTGATAGAATAAGGCCTTACTCTGGGGTAACACTGACCTTTGCTACCTCATAACCATTCTTCATCCTTCAAGCAAGTGACCTCTTTTAGCAAGCCTTCTCTGCCACTAAACTGGGTTAAGGGCCTCTCTTCTGGGCCTCCCAGTTCTTTCTGTGCTCTTCAATCACATCACTTGTTTGTTTCACACGTGTTTCCCTGAAGCACTATGAACTCTGTGCTGATTCCTTTATATCCACTGCACCTAGCATAGGGCTTGGCACAAAATAAATGAACGAATGAATGTTCAATGGATAAACAGACAGGAATAAATGACTTTTAAATAATCTTCTGTTCAAAAACCTTTAATGGGGCCACGTTCATTCTTACCATTCTCCAATGAGAAATCACACCAAACACTTTCATTTGCACAGGATTTTATGTTTTATGCTTTGAAATATATTATCTTGTTTAATTCTTAACCAATCAGATGAGATCAATAATTCCTGTTTTACAAATAAGGAATGTGAGGATCAGAGAACTTAGGTGACTTGCCCAGGGTGAGTAGTAGTATGCAGCTACTCAGAATTTGGGACTCCAAGTCTTGTGCTTGTTCCATGATAAGGGATAAGCCCTCTCCCAACTGGGTTCATTCCTCATTCCTGCCTCACACCCCTGAATGCTGGAACCTGAATTCAAGCCACTCCCCCTGCTTTATCCCTATTCCATTCAACTTTCAAGGTGCTCACATTTCTCCTTTTCAAAGTCCATCACCCCAAATCATTGGGCCACCTCTCCCTTAAATGCCTTTGCTTTTGGCATCTCCATCAACCTTCTGTCTTAGATTTTCCCTTAGTTTTCTCATTATGTGTTAGTTTAGTTTCCCTAAGTAGGCCATGAGCATCTGGTAATAGAAGATAATATCTCAAACTTCTCTATTTCTCCAGTATACTCCTCCCCAGTACAAGTGGCACAACACAGACACTAAATATCTGTGAAGTAAACCCAAAGTCTTTCTATCCTTTTATTAGGAACAGTCTGCAAGTCTTAGAGTCAAATCCAAATTAAATGAGAGGACAAGGCTGATCTTTATTCTGTTACTAGAAGCCACGACTCTATCAAATCACAGTGGATTTACTTAAGTGTCTATATCTGGGTGTATGGCACACAAAGAAATACCTGTCACAGGAACATGCAAACTAATGTAAACTTGGCGAAGCTTTAGAAAATATGCAAATCCAACTGGCCTTGTCAGAGGTTCTGGGTGTAAAACCTACTAATAACACCAAGTTACAATTTTCTCATCTGTGAATAAAGTTTATTAATACTTGTCCTGCAGACCTCATAGGATTGCTGTGACTCAGATGAAACACTGTTTTAGGGGTCTATGAACCCATGGAAGGAATGCAAAAGTGATATATCTTTTTTCATCTCCATTTGGTAGAGAACTTGTGTATGGCAGTGCTTCTCAAAACCTGGTTCTAGAACTAGCAGCATCAGCGCCATCTGAGAATTTGTTAGAAATGCAAATTCTTAGGCCCTATCCCAGGCCCACTGAATCACGAACTGTATGGGTGGGTCCCACAATCACTGTTTTGACAAGCCCTTCATGTGACTCTGATATACACCAAATTTTTGGAATGATTGCTACAGGACAGTGGTTTTAGTTTGGCAATTTTGGCCCCAAGGGGACATTCAGCAACATGTAGCGATATTTTTGGTTGTCACAACTGGGGGAGGGGTGCTATTGTTATCTAGTGGATAGAGGCCAGGAATGCTGTTAAATATCCTACAATGTACCAGATAGGGCCCCACAGCAAACTATCTGACCCAAATGTCAGCAGTGCTGAGGTTAAGAGAAACTGCTCTCGGGTGAAGGAGAGTTTCTCTTTCTCTTTTCTCTGTGGGGTTCTAAAATAGGTTATGTGAATTACCCAATAAAATGCAGCCACACCATTGATGGTTTAGCTTAAATAGCCCTCAGTCTCCAGCTGAGAATCTAAAATGAGAATCTGAACATGTTACTTCTTTGTAATATAAGTTTAAGCAGTTTTCCATAGTCTATAGCACAACTGTTCAGTCCTTTTTAACCGATGTCCCACCAATCAAAAATATTTTGCCAATCTTTCTTTTTTGAGCTTGCTCTATTAAAACAAATAATAGGTTTTTTCCAAATATAAAATCTTTTAGGTACTTTTTCCTCAAACTTGACACACACTCTTCCTCCTCTTCTCATCACTTTCCACTTGAGAATCACTGTTCTAAAAGTCCAAACTCTTAGCCTGACATTCAAGGCCCTTCAAGATCTGACTCCTACAGAACTCGCCCTGCTCCTTACATCTTATGCTCAGCTTTATCCTAACTGCACTGCTGGTATTTCCCCAAAGCTGACTTGCTCTTTCATGCCCCTGGGCCTTAGGGTGTTTTTTCTGCACAAAATGCTCTTCACATTTGTTTACCTGTTCCTTCAAAGACCAGTTCAAATGTGATTTCTTTACATCTTTCCATGACCAACCTAGAATCTTACTCCTCCATTCACCTTTGGCCAGGAAACCTGCAGCACTTATCACACATCATTATAATTCTCTGGCAACATGGCTATCTCCTCCCCTGGGAGTGGCAGAGCCAGGACTGGAAGTCAAGTCTCTCTTACTCTGAAGCCAAGTCCTTTCCACCGTGCTACACTTCTTACTAGATAATCCAGAGGTGGATCCAGATGATCTATAATGGCCCTTTTAATGCTCACAGTGCTTCTCTGGCTCAGATGCTGCCTAAACTAAGAAAGGGACACGGAAGCATTAATAGGACAGATGCTGGTCTGGAAGAAGTCAGTGGTTGTGAAGATAAAGATGACGGGCAGGATGAGGTTTTGTAAATTGTAAATGGAAGTGAGGCTGTGCAGATGTGAGGGTGGTTGTTATTAAGTTTGGTGAATAATCTAAAGTTCCTGTATTTAAAGGTGGATCAGCCCCCTGACGGAATGGAAGGCCCCAAGCTGAGAAAAATTCACCTATGAGGAATCCTGCAAGGCTCCAGGCTCCAATTCGACACTAACATGCATGCAAGTCCCTACTAAACCTCCCAGAGTGGTTGCAGCTGACGGAAAAGCAGTACCACAGATTGCCACTGCCCATTCACCTCGCATTCCACTATGGTTTCCTGTGCCTTTTCTCAGCGGAGGGCCTCACCTGAGAGAAGTCAGAATGGAACTATGAGAGGACAAGGGCGAGGTGCTCAGTTTGTCATCACTTGGCAAGACTGCCTCTCCCTGCTGCAGGGATTCATGAAATCGGCGGATGTTCTGCACGTGCTCCTCATGGCGTGATGCCTGGCTTCTGGCAGCACTGCTTCTGTCAGGAACAAATGGGGGCAAAATAAATTCCCAAGAAATGAGAAAACTACTGTGACAATAAACAAATTACCCTCCTGAAATGGTATTGCAAATCCACGCCCATTACCACAGTTACGGCTTCATTAACTCTTGCTTGGACTACAGCTATCTCCCAAATAACCTTGCCTTCAGTGTTACCCACTCCCCTCCAATAAATTCTCCACAGTATGGCCTGAGTGATTCTTAAAAACACAGATCTGAAATAAGAATAACAAGAACAACAATATTTATGGAGTCCTTGTTTATTTATTTAATTTTATTTCTTTAAAGATCGGCTCTGAGCTAACATCTGTTGCCAATCTTTTTCTTCTTCTCCCCAAAGCCCCCTAGTACAAAGTTGTATATTCTAGTTATAGATCCTTCTAGTTCTGCTATGTGGGACGCCACCTCAGCATGGCTTGATGAGTGGTGCTAGGTCGGTGCCCAGGAACCGAACTGGCAAAACCCTGGGCTGCCAAAGCAGAGCATGCAAACTTAACCACTCAGCCGCGGGGCTGGCCACTATGGAGTCCTTATTATGTGCCAACCACTGTTCTAAGCATTCAATCTATATTAACCTATGTAATCACCACCATTCCTTTCTAGCTTTGGTTCCTCTCTTTAATCTATAGAGCAAATTTTAAATTCCTTAGGATGATATTCAAGAACTTGACCCCAGGGGCCGGCCCCTTGGGATCCAGTTTGGATCCTGGCTGCAGACATGGCATCGCTCATCAAGCCAGGCTGAGGTGGCATCCCACCTGCCACAACTAGAAGGACCCACAACTAAAAATATACAACTATGTACCGGGGGGCTTTGGGGAGAAAAATGAAAAATAAAATCTTTAAAAAAAAAAATTCTTAAAAAAAAAAAGAGAGCTTGACCCCAGCAATAATCTTCTTTTTAAATAACAACGTCATTGAGATATAATTCACGTACTATACAATTCATCCATTTAAAGTGTACAATTCAATGGTTTTTAGTATATTCACAGTTGAGCAACCATCACCACAACCAATTTTAGAACATTTTTATCACCCCAAGAAGAATCCTATACCCATCAATAATCATTCCACATCTCTTCCTCCCTCTACAACCCCCACCCAAACATCCCAGCCCAAGGCAACCATTAATATACTTTCTGTCTCTATAGATTTGCCTAATTTAGATATTTCATATAAATGGAATAATAAAATATGTGATCTTTTGCAGTTGACTTCTTCCATTTAGTGTAATATTTTCAGGCTTCATTCATGTTGTAGCATATATCAGTACTTCATTCCTTCTCACGGCTGAGCAATTTTCCATTGTATAGCTAAATCACATTTTGTTTACTCATCAGTTGATGGACACTGGGTTGTTTCTATTTTCTAGTTATTAGGAATAATGCTGCTACAAACATTTGTGTACATGTTTTTGTGTGGTCTTTTTTTTTTTTTTTGAGGAAGATTAGCCCTGAGCTAACTACTGCCAATCCTCCTCTTTTCGCTGAGGAAGCCTGGCCTGAGCTAACGTCCATGCCCACCTTCCTCTACTTTATATGTGGGATGCCTACCACAGCATGGCGTGCCAAGCAGTGCCATGTCCGCACCTGGGATCCGAACAGGCGAAACCCAGGCTGCCAAAACCGAACGTGTGAACTGAACCGCTGCACCACCGGGCTGGCCTCTGTGTGGTCTTATATTTTGATTTCTCTTGGGTATATACCTAAGAGTGGACATACTGGATCATATGATTTCTCTATGTTTAACCTTTTAAGGAACTGCCAGACTGTTGCCCAAACAGCCACACCATTCTGAAATCCCACCAGCCACGTTTGAGGGTTCCAGTTTCTCTACATCCTCCCCAACACTTGTGATATTTGTCTTTTTGATTATAGTCATCCTAGTAGGTGTGAAGTGATAGCTCATTATAGCTTTCATTTATATTTCTCTGATGGCTAATGATGTCAAGCATCTTTTCATGTGCTTATTAGCTATCTGTATATCTTCTTTGGAGATATGTCTATTCATATCATTTACCTATTTTTAATTGGGTTATTTGCATTTTATTATTGAGTTGTAAGAATTCTTTATATCTTCTGGATACAAGTCTCTTATCAGATCTACGATCTGCAAATTTTTCTCCCATTGTATGGGTTGTCTTTTCACTTTCTTGATGGTATTGTTTGTAGGATGCAAGTTTCTAATTTCAATGAATCCAATTTATTTTTTCTTTTGTGGCTTCTACTTTTGGTGTCATATCTAAGCATTCACAGCCCAATCCAAGGTCATGAAGATTTACTCCTATTTTTCTTCTAAGAGTTTTACAGTTTTAGCTCTCATGTTTAGATATATGATCCATTTGGAGTTAATGTTTGTACATGGTGTGAGGAAGGGGTCCAACTTCAATCTTTTGCATGTGGATATACAGTTGCTCCAGTACCATTAGTTGGAAAGACTATTTTTTCCTTATTAAACCATTTTGGCACCTTTGACATCTTGGCATTCTTGGCACACGTGTCTATTTCTGAACTGTGAATTCTATTCCATTGATCTCTATTTCTATCCTTATACCAGTACCACACCAGTACCACACTGTGTTGTTTACTGTAGCTTTGCAGCAAGTTTTGAAATCAGGAACTTTGCTTTTCTTTTTCAAGACTGTTTTGCCTATTCTGTGCCCCTTGAATTTCCATAGGAAGTTTAGGACTAGCTTGCCCAGCAGGGATTATGATGGAGAGTGTGTTGAATCTGTGTATCAATTTGGACAGTACTGCCATCTTAGCAATATTAAGTCTTCCAACTGGTGAACATGAGAGGTTTTTCCATTTATTTAGACCTAATAATTTCTTTCTATAATGTTTCGTAGTTTTCAGAGAATACATTTTGTACTTTTTTTGTTAATTTTTTCTTAAGTATTTTATTCTTTTTAATGCTTTTGTAAATAAAACTGTTGTTTTTTTAATTTGATTTTGGATTATCCACTCCTGATGTATAGACATACAATTGATTCTGTGTATTGTGTTTTAAGAGTTTCTCATTTAAATTTCTTATATGGTAAAAACTGATAGATATAACCTACATAAACAAACTTCTTTGAGTCATCAATAATTTTTTTTCTTCTTCTCCCCAAAGCCCCCAGTACATAGTTGCATATTCTAGTTGTGGCATGTGGGACACTGCCGCCGCATGGCTTGATGAGCAGTGCCAGGTCCACGCCCAGGATTCAAACTGGCGAAATCCTGGGCTGCCGAAATCCTGGGCCGCCGAAGTGGAGTGTGTTAACTTAACTACTCGGCCATGGGGCTGGCCCCTATAAAGGGGTTTTGAAGTAGAAATGTTTGAGAACTACTGCTTTACTGAGGTATAACTGGTATATAATAAATTTCACATATTTAAAGTGTACAAAATGATGAGTTTCGACATATGTGTACATTTAAGAAAACCATTACCACAACAAGGTAATGAATGTATCCATCACCTCTAACAGTTTCTTCCTGTCCTCTGTAATTTCTTCCCTCCTTCCTACTCCACTCATCCTGCCTTGTCCCTGTGTAACCACTGATTTGCTTCCTGTCAATATAGATTAATATGTATTGTCTAGAATTTTATATAAATGGAATCATATACAATATATTCCCTTTTGTCTAGCTTCTCTCAGCATAATTATGAGATTCATTTTGTTATATATCAATGTTGCCTTTCTTTTTATTTTTGAGTACTATTCCATTGTATGAATATATCGCAATTTGGCTAGTCTTGGACGGATGGCTGGATTAGAATATATCATTTTGACATGGCTCTTTTGAAGTGAGAACAAGAACATTCTTATATGGACAAAAAGCAAACCACTAAACTTGTAGCTTTTACAATTACTAAATAGTGGCCTCACTATTGTTCTGTATTTCTAGCCTTGTACCAGTACCCTTATCCTACCCATATGTCTCATGATTAGCTATGGTCAAAGTAACACCTATTTCTCTAACAGGCGTTAGAGAAATTACCTAAACCTGGGATCTAGGATTTGACAGACACATGGGCTCCCTTTATGTGGAGAGCAGAGGCTCTCTTCATGTGGTGAGCAAGGTAGAAAGCCACATAGCACTGACATGTGCCTTTGAGGGGCTAAGCAGTATTAGAGAGTGTCTTTCTTGGAATAGAGGGTCTACTCAGCAACTGCTGCTATAGGAGTGACTGCTGTAGGGGAAGATCCCTTGTCTTCTCCCTGAGGTGGAGAGAAAGACATGGGAAAGACTGGTGGAGGCAGGGGGACGCCAAATGGTACCAGGGCCTGGAAGAGAGTGGGGTGGAAAGAAGTAATCTTATTTCTATACCCTGACTTTGACAGGATAGAATATGCTCTAGCCCTGATACCCATACGCATATCCATGGTTGGCTTGGTGAAAAAGATAGGCCAGTTGCTGTTTACAAAATAATCTGGCATACAGGTTTGGGAGGGGAAAGATCAGGATAGTTTCTCACATAGCTGATGACTGATTCTAGAGATAAAGGTTAAAGGCCTCTGAGGAAAAGAGAAAAGTGTCCCGTGTACTGAGGCCATCCTTTTGATAGTAGTAAAAGTTCTAGTAAAAAGTTTGTTTTAATAGGATCCTGGGGTTCCCAATGGTTGTGACAGAAGGTCAACAAAGCTCTTTCCCTGTCTCTAGTTTCTTCCTCTAATAAAGGCAAGAGAAGTGACAAGCCCGTTTATACATTTTCACTCTCTGACTCCGTTTCTTCCCATCATCAAGAAATCACTCACCTCCGAGGAGAGGAGAAATCAAGCTCCTTTGACGAGGTGTGAGCAAGTTGTTCTAGAGTCTGTCTTGCAACACAGCTGGGGAATGCAGCATACATATCAGAGGCAGGGAAGGAAAAGGGACGGTACATTGGGATCTGCAGAAGCAATGAGAAAAATGGTATACCTGTCGCCACAAATCCTTTTGGAACAAAGCAGTATAAATAAGTTTGTAAAATTTACTGTATGTGTATAAATATAATTTACTGAGTATTTTCTATGCATGGAACGCTGTATAAGCAATTTACATGCATTTTCTCATTTAAACTTCACAATCTTATGAGATAAGTACTATTATTATCCCCATTTTACAGACTATACTATCAGATTGCTTTTTAGTTACTTTATGTCTATTTATGCTCTTGTTCTTCCAGCTAGTTTGTGAACTCCTGGCTGGACATCATCTTACATTTACTTTACATGTGAGGATAATCTGGCTGTGATATTTCTTATCTCATGACTACCAGGGTTGATGTGAAGAAAAGACCTTCGTATATATGGACTGTTTAACTCTGTTATTTTCTCGTTCATTCATTCATTCAATATCTACTGACGTCCACTCTGCCAGACCCTGGGCCAGGCGTGCGTGATAAAGAGATGAATAAAACAGAGTCTTTGCCTTGACAGAGCTCCCCTATCTGGGAGAGTCTGGAAAAATTTTCCTTTCCTTTACAGTTAAACTCCCTGAAAGTGTTATCTATACTTCTTATTGTTAATTCCCCTCTTCCCTTTCTCTTTTAATTTTTTTTATGATAGAGCAATAATTTTAATGTAAGAGAGTTTTTAAAAAGTTCAACCAATATTGTTTCAGATTCCATACTGAAACTGATCTTATTTTATTTAAAAACTGACACATAATTCATGTATTATAAAATTCACCCTTTAAAGTGTTCAATTAGTGGTTTTCAGTATATTCAGAGTTGTACATCCATCACCACTATATAATTCCACAACATTTTTATCATCCCCAAAAGGTCATGAAGTTGTTATGAGACACACATATATAATGGGTCTGTAAGCTGGAAGGTACCAAACACATGGAAAGGATCTTCTTATAGGTTTTGCTAAGTAGAACTCTTATGGGTTAAGGATGCGAATCAGGATACATACCAGTGATCCTGGGGTCTCCACTCCACGTCTTGCTTGCCTCTCTTCTTTGAAGCGCATCAAACTCTCCGAAGGGGAGACAGCAACTTTTATCTGCCCCTGGCACTCTCCACTGAAGTCTGTGATGTTGTACCAGCCACAGACAAACTGAAAGCCAGAGAGAAGTGGCGAGAGGTCCACCGAGGCAAAGCCAATCACCCTCTCCTCATCTGCTGGGGAAAGAGAAGAGCTGGGGAACGTGGTTGGACACATCCTACCACTGAGATTAGAGGCTGCACACAGAGAAGCTGATTCAGGGGACTGGGGTGTTCAGCAACTCCAAGATCCACAGAGAAGACAGATAATGAGGTTGAGAGAGACTGGCAACCACAGTCTGCTTTCACGATCATGAATTCCCTTTCTGTATGGCAGGGAAAAGCTAGCAGGGTTGAGTTTTGTCCTCTCAATACAGACAACTGGAAAACATCCCTTAAACATAAAACACACTTGTTCTTTTCCCTAGGTTATTATGTCTCAGTGATTTTCCTTAGGGCAGTGGGCCTTAAAAGAAATCATTTGAAAGACCATCACCCTTGGAATACTGAGGAATTGCATTTTTCTCATTTATACTTGTCTGTATTTTCCAGATTTTCTATAACATAAATATTATTATATTTAATTAAGAACAAAAGTGACAGAAATCATAAAAGAAAGACAAATAACCCCCTGGAAAAGTATAGGGTACAAAATAAGCTTAGGCTCCAGCTCATAAGGCTCTGCCCTTCTTGGTTGGACAAGCTACCATGCAATGACCTTTGTTCTTAGACTCATTGCTTCTTATTTCTCATTTCTGACATGAAAGCAGCTGGAGACAAACAGGCCCCCACGACTCCACAAGTTCCTATTTTGTATAGGCTTCATCCCCTATACTGAATATCAGTATACTGACTCCATCAAAAACAGACCCAATTCTTAGTTTTCAATTTGCTAAATAAATCAAGGAATGTGAATTTTCAAGAGGAGTGGTCATGAGTTTCTCAGTTCCTTGTGCACACTGCTGGTGACAGTGAACTCATCACACACTGTCTAACATTTGCTTACACAGCTTGCTTTTCTTTAGACTAGGACTTACCCAAAAGCCAGGACCTGGTATTACTCACTTTATGTTCCCAACACTCTCCATACCTGGCATAAAATCTTCCCACATCATGAGGAACTGGATACACATCCACTGAGAGTACCAGTGAACTGGCCAACGTAGAGTGGAACAAAGAAGCAGGTGCCACAATAGCAAATCTAAGTGTGGCTTTGACTTGAAAACACATCACTCTAACTCCCTGAGCCTCATATATGGTGATGCGCCACATAACAACGTTTCAGTCAACGACGGACCACATATACAACAGTGGTCCCATAAGATTAATGCCATATAGCTGAAATGGCTAGTAGGCTATACCATCTAGCTTTGTGTAAATACACTCTGTGATGTTTGCACAATGATTAAATTGCCTAATGATGCATTTCTCAGAACATATCCCCATCATTAAGCCACGCATGACTATATAATGAGAAGTACTAAACCAGATTTAAGATCCCCTTCAACTTGGACAGTCTTAGATTCTAGGAACACTTGAAGTTGTGTTCCCCAGAGTAGGGTCAAATAACTCTTACTCACTGGGGATGAGCAAATGATAGCTAGAGCCGTTAATCTGCACTCCAAAGACTTGTTACAGCTTTGCAAAGAAAACTAATCTTGCCTTATTTGGTTATCGGAGCTGTAATCTTGATATATTGTAACTTTAAGTAACCCCACTTTGAGGGTTCTGCCTAACATGAAAGCACTACATCCTACACATACTTGAAGAGAAATCTGGCTAAGCTGATCACTGAGAAAAACAATGGCTTTGAAGAGTTAAATTTTACATCAGATTTAGCAGGACGACTCCTTTTGCGGTTTTACCTTCTAGAGATCTTGAACTTCCCTCATACTCTTTCTTTATTCCATGCTGTTCCCTCTGACTATAATATGTCCTGCTCCTTCATTTCTCAGCGAAGGTATGCTCCAGGAAGCCTTCTCTGACATCCTGAGTCTGGGTTAGATGTCTCCTATCAGAGCACCCTGTATTTGCCTAATCATACTATACTGTCAGACTGTAAGCTCCATGAGGACAGGGACCACAACTGTCTTATGTTACCTTTGTATCCCCAGCACTTAGCAGAGTGCCTGGCACAGAGTAGGAACTCAAATATTTACTGAATACAGCTTGGTCTGGTTTGAGTCTCTTTTGCAATAGGTTCACTGAGTCTGGGTGGAAAGGATAGAGCTAAGGGGAGAGAGGTATCTTGACACACTGAGAGAACTAGATGAGTAGTGGTCAGTTAGGCACGGGCCTTTTCCTCATCTCCATTTACAACAGGGTCTTACAGGACTTGTTGGGGATCCTGGAAGGTAGTGTATTTTATTCTTCTCCATACCCCAAAGCCCTAGCACAGTACCTGATGCATAATGGGCAAATAATAGAAATAGCTCCATTTGTTAAGCACCAATTATGGGCCAAATACTTTATATATGTCATCTCTAATGCTTTCAAAAACCCCGTAGGGCAGATACTACTATCTTAATTTTATAAATAAGAAAACAAAGGCTCAAAGAGGTAAAGTGCTTTATCTCAGGTCACACAGTTTGTAAACAGTAGAGCCAAGATTTGAATCCAGGTCTGCATAAAACCAAACCTTATTCTTTTTTTCCTGCTAAAGTAAGTATTGAATTAAGGTGAACCCTTGTTTGCTTGACAATCTCTGGAGTACTTTAGAGAGAAGAGAAGAATAGAAATCAAGAGAGGAGTGTACAGCCTAGCTAAATAAAGCAGGAATTCCTTGTGCTGATTCAGAGAAAACCGATTTATGATCAGCTCCTGCCGCTTTTATGAGGTTGGGCAGGGGTGGGGGACATAAGTGAATCATCAAACCCAGATCCAGAGCATCACTCCCAAACAGGAGCACAGGAGGAGACACAGGTAAGCTGATTTCCTTTACACCCTGACTGCTCTCAGGTCTTTATTAGGCTTTGGGGTTAGCTCTGGAACTTACCAATGACAAACAAACACTGTGATGCTGTAGATGACAAAACAACTGAAGGTTTTGGAAACCAGGCTCTAGCAGCAATCCGGAAGGAGCTAGATTTACAGGAAGGATATAGTGAGACAAAATTTTCTAAGTATAGGAGCTGTGAGATGTTGGATGTCATCACCACTTTATTTTTCAGTCATCCAATCTTACCAGTGTGAGTACAAACGGTAAAGGCTGAAAAGCCACTTATAACTGGGTTCAAATCCTAGGTCCAGCAATTAAAAGATATATGACCTTAGTCAAGTCACTAAACTTCCTTGGGCCTTGGCTTTTACATCTATAAAAGTGAACTAACTTTTACCTTGCAGTATTAGAGATGTTTGTAAAGCTCTTAGCACACCATCATTCACTAATAAAAACAACAAAAACTGAGATGGTGTTTATGACCAGGAACTCATTTAATTCTTCCAAACCCCTACGAGGTAGGTACTATTATTATTCCTCTTTGGTAGATAAGGAAATTGAAGCACAGAGTAGTTAAGTCATTCACCCAAGGTCACACTACTTTGTAAGGGGCAGAACTGGCATTTGAATCCAGAGAGCGTAGCTTCAGAGTCTGTGCTCTTAATGCTATTGTATTATGCCTCTTAATAAACGGTAGCTGAGTAAAACTAGGTTCAAGGACCATGAGGTCAGCACCTCTGGCTTGGGGAGGTTCTTAAAACAAGGAAGAACAAGCTGTCAGACTCTAGTTTTGTGTACTGCCTGAAAATGCTAGGGTCTTTGTTAACAAGCCAGACTCAACAGAAGGCACAACAGCACACAAAGGTGGGGAGAAATCACTTGTGTATGGCAGGCCGTACATTATGATTGTTGAGATACCATTGGAAAGATTCAAATGTACTTGGATTTCTGCACTAAGCAAGTAATCAAACAAAATGATATGATTTCTAAGGATTTAAATTCCAGTTGCATTTTGTGGGATTCCCTCTAACACATATGCATTCTCAGCACTATCAGTGCCATTGTTTCACTTGGTTAAAAAAAGAAAAGCAATCTGTCAACAGGATGTGAGCTTATTTGTACAACTAGATAGATATTCACAGAAGAGAGTTCATACCTCCTTTATGCCAGACTTTGAAGACCAGAGTTTGTTGTGGGTCCAAAAGAAGCTCTTTTGATAGCCTATTAAGAAAAACAACCACCATAAATTAACTGTGTAGGAAGCTTCTGCAGTATGAAACTTAGATTTGAAGAGTATTTCACAGATTGCAAAGCACTTTCCTAACACTTTCATTTCATCTTCATGGTCATCTTTAGGATGTATTTTTATCTTCACAGTTAAAATGAGAGGATGGAAGCTCAGAGAGGGAAGTAACTTGCCAAGATGTGAAAACAGGCTCATCTGATGCAGTACTTCCCTCCCAATAGTATCTGCAATATTCAAACTCTGTTTCTCAAGACAAGGGAGGGGGTGTGAGAAGGGAGCTCCTCAACATGTAATGAACAGTTTTATTGCAGCAGCTAAAGATTTTTCTTGTGCCATGTGGGTGGGGAAAGCGTGGAAAGGGAGGAAGAGGGGAAAAGGAACATTTATTAAGTGTCTTCCTTGGGCCAGGCATGGTGCCAAATGTCTCATATACATGTAAACTGGACAAAAACTTATGACTTGGGCATTATTATCCCTGTTTTACAGACAAGGAAGCTGGGCTCAGAGAGGTGAAGTGATTTGCTAAGTCACACAAGAGTCAGTAAATGGCAGAGTTGGGATTTGAACCCTAGTTTGCCTGACTCCAAAGCCATACTGTGCAGAGAGGCAAGGCACCAAAATAAGAAAGTACTTCTTTTCCTACCAGATAAAGAAGCCGATGTGGAATTCACTGAGCACCTCTAAGATATTTTATATGAAGTGAATTACACAGTTTTAAACTACAAAGATTTGGGAAGTTTCAAACAAGGTACCACTGCTCCAGGATTAGCAAGACGTAGAACCAGGGAAACCAAGAGACTTAATTTCCTTCCCCAGACACCACTGGGGAATTGAAGAGAGCCTACTTCAAGACCAACGAGAGGCACTGTGCTAAAGTGAAACAAATACCATGTCAGAGTTTTGAATTCTGAGGTCAAAACACCTACCTTTGAATTCCAGCTCCAATATTATCACCTGAGTGACCCTAAACAGTCTCCTTGAGCCCTGGTTTTCTTACCTGTTAAATGGGATATTATCTACCTACAAGGTTGCTAGGAGGATCAAATGAAACAATTTTATGATAAAGGAACTATAAACAGCACTGTTACTCATTTTTCTTCTAATCTTGCCTCTACTACCAACAGACTCTGTAACCTCTGTGGGCCACAGTCTTCTCAACTGTAAAGTGAGGGGATGAAATTAGGAGACTGTTAATATCGCTTCATCAATTCATAAAGTTAGGTTCTGAATGAACAAATTACCTTCACTTCGAAGCTCAGCTCTGGTCTCCCGCCTTTTGAGGCAGATTTGATATTTTAGATAAAGTACCCCAGCCACCATGGCCAGAATTTCTATAATTTCCAGTAGCTCACCATTGATAGTACTGAGTTGTCATCGCTGCAGTTCTAGCTCCTGTCTCAGGTCAGTCTCTCGAACTTCAAAACACTGAACATGTGAGCAACTGCTGAGACTCAATTAGGTACATAAACACTGTGAGCAAATAGCAGATCAGACACCACATGGTGTGGCCAGTGTTGGTGGACAAGAATTAAACTTTATAAAAGGTGATGCAGTGCAAAGATAACAGTAACAATAAATAATAACAGAACTCACACTTTTAATGATGTTGAAACAGGTAACAGAAGAAAAGGCAGTATGAGCTCTGCACCCCAGGAGTGGGCCTCTCTGCCAGTCCCCTAACTCTGGGCTGCACTGCAACATGACTGACAGGACTCCACCTCCAATTTTTTGAGCCTTCCAAAGGAGACCCAACATTTGTTGTATACCTACTATGTACCATGAGGTAATTTTCCTCAATATCATCTAATTTTGATGTCACAATAACCCTGTGATTTACTTCACTTTACAGCTGAGGAAGCTGAGGCTCAGAGATGCAATTTAACTTGTTCACAAAGCTAGTAAATGACAGAGATGGGGTTGGAGGCCAAGTCTCTCTGTTCCAAAGCCCAGGCTCTTTCCACTGCACAAGAAATCTTCTCCAAGGATGTGCAATCCACAGCTTTTCTGAGATTCGTTCTCTCTGCCTTCTTCATCTAGATAACTTGTATATATTCTTCCATACTTAGCGAGGTGTCTTATGTAAGAAGCCTCCCCTGAACTCCCATTGCCTAAATAATCTTTCTAAGCTCCGCTAGCATCCTTTTTACTTCTCCTATAGCACTTGTCACATTCTACTGTAATTTTTTTTTTAAAGATTTTATTTTTTCCTTTTTCTCCCCAAAGCCCCCCGGTACGTAGTTGTGTATCCTTCGTTGTGGGCTCTTCTAGTTGTGGCACGTGGGACGCTGCCTCAGCGTGGTCTGATGAGCAGTGCCATGTCCGCGCCCAGGATTCGAACTAACGAAACACTGGGCCGCCTGCAGCGGAGCGCGCGAACTTAACCACTCGGCCACGGGGCCAGCCCCTCTACTGTAATTTTTTATTTGTATTTTTTCCCATGCAGACCATGAACTCCTCAATAGCAGGGACTATCTTAATCATACTTAATTTCGAGTGCCTAGAACAGAGCAGGGCATATAAGAGGTCCTCACTGAATCACTTTTGAGCTGGACTAAGTGGAGTTAAAAACTACCACAATGAAACCTTTAAACCATTGCTAGTTGTGAATTTATAAGCACTAGGACTAAATAACTGCTTGATAAGAAAAGCATTTTCTAGGTCTGCTCAATGTTGTTCTGTCTGTTATATTCTTTACTCTGAGTTTGTCTCTTGGAACAAAACGCAGATTCTGGAAGGCTGATGTAACATCATAAAATACAAACCTTGATTGCTGTTGAAAATTCCAAATGGGGGAATCTGTGTTTTCAACCACTTGGGTGTAGACAGGAGATGGCTTATCAGCTGTTGTAAAGGATACACAACAACTGGGTATTGACACTTTCCGCTCTGTCAAGGGGCTCCCTGAAATAGAGCAGAGTGGAGTGATTATACTTTAGGGTACTAAAAAGAATGTGTTGGAAGCCTCCGATTATACAGGTACAAGGAGGACCACTTCTAGACCTCTCCTACCTTTGGGTCTTTGCTCGAGCTATTTCCTGTATCTGAAATGCTTCCAGTGTCCTTTCTGCTACTGAAACTATCATTTCAAGGCTCAGTTCATAAATATTGCCAGGTGAGAAATGATTTCTCCCATCTCCTTGTACTTTGTGGAATGATGGAAAGTACTGCATTGAGAGGAATATATAGAACTTCAAAGAGCCTGAGACTTAAGAGTCAGATGACCCATTATCGACTCCACCATACAGATTCTGTGCAACCTTGGGCAAGGCCTATCTAGGCCACAGCTTCCTCGAATGGAGCATACAAAACTTAAACCTCCTAAGATAGTGTAAGAATTAAAAATAAATAATAGTAGGTAAATATCACTTATTGTGTGTCAGGTACTGTTCTAAGTACTATACATGTATTAAATCCTTTAATCCTACAACAACAGTATGAGGTAGATACTATTATTCCCATTATATAGATGAAAAATTGGGGTGCAGAGAGATTAAACATTAGTTAAGTGGTCATATATTTATTAAATAGTAGAACTGAGAGTCAAATTCCAGCATTCTGGCTCTAGAGTCCAAGCTCTCAGCCATCTCCTAAACTTTCTCTACTATAGAGTTAACAAATATAAAACACTGACAACTGTGTGGTGTTAATTTTTACAAGATCAGGTTTCCAACGTGGGAGACTGAATCATTTATTTTCTCTTCAAACAATGTAGAATGAAGATGGATGATGATACTAGTCTAACTGAGCTGTCCAATAAGATAACCACTAGCCACATGTGGCTATTTAACTTTCAATTAATGAAAATTAAAGAAGATTAAGAATTCAGTTCCTTCGTTGCACTAGCCACATTTCAAGTGCTAGTAGCCACATGTGGCTAGTGGCTACCATACTAGACAGTAAAGATACAGAACACTTCCATCATGGTACAAAGTTCTTTTGGACAGTGCTGAATAATACAGATTCTATTTAATACAGACTCTATATACTCCCCAAGATCCCTTTCAGCTCTAAAATGCTACGAATCTCAGGATTACAGATGAAGGAAAGAGAAAGAAAAAAAATAGAAGATGAGTATGCCTTAAACACGATTTATGTGATCCAGAGGAACAAATTCTGTATGTGGATTCTAACTGATTTGTCTTCTTTCTACCTGTCTGGCTCAAGGTTTCTCCAAATCCATACTCCTACTTCATCTTGTAGGTGAAGTTAATCTTTGAGGCTCCTTCTCTATCTGGCTGCTCTTTTCAGTAATTACTCTTTCAATGAACTCAGCCTGTCCCCAAGGATAGAAAGCAATCTAATGAACAAATTCATCCTCAGGAACTGCTGATTTTACTCCTCTCTGTAAGCAGTGTGACACTTAATAAGTAGCCTCCCTCCCTCCCTTCCTTTCAGATTGGCACCTGAGCTAACATCTGTTGCCAATCTTTTTGTTTTTTCTTCCCAAAGCTCCCCAGAACGTAGTTGCATATTCTAGTTGTAGGTCCCTCTGGTTGTGCTATGTGGGATGCTGCCTCAGCATGGCTTGATGAGCGGTGCCATGTCCGCACCCAGGATCTGAACTGGCGAAATCATGGGCCGCCGCAGCGGACCGTGCGAACTTAATCACTTGGCCACGGGGCTGGCCCCTAATAAGTAGCCTTTAAAAGATAAATTCTAGCACCATCTATTCTGAGAAGCCTCTCTTGACTCTCTGGGCAGAATAACTAACTTTATATCCCTAGTCAGATTTCTCCAATTTCACCTTTCTTTTAGGGAAACGGAAGTACCTGAAACTTTGTTTTGCTATATTTTCCTTAACAAAAGACTTCCATTAGAGTAGATCAATTCTTTTCAAACTTTCCCACCAATGTAACAACAATCCAGAGAAAAGTAAACACTAAACTCTGCAGTGTTTCCCTGCTGCCTTGAAAGAGCAACAATAAGTATGACATTTATTCGCGAGTCTGTATTCTATTAAAAAATTCATGAGAATTTTATATTATCTTCCATAATATAGCCCTATTTGTTTAAACTAAAAACAATATTTTACCCCAAAATCTTGGCAAAAAAATTGGCATATCATATTTATTTACTCTGCTGATTTCTAACTCCTCAGAGCACACAACCAGACCAGATGGCACTACTTTTTAGTTTGTCTTACTAGGAATAATTAATAAAGAAAGAAAACGGTGATGAGGAGAGAAAAGGGAGTGGAGATTTTGCAAGGAGGTCCTGGGAAACAGAACTGAAGAGGAGGAAGAGGAATGCTAGTCTTAGAAGTGAGACCTGGTGGTATCTGCGAGGCAGGAGGGAGCTGACGCATGTGCAAGAGTTGCCAACAAAGCAGGACCTGGAGAAAGGCTTAATTAGAGGCAGAAAAGCTGTAGAATTGGAAAAGCATTAAACATACAAAGAAGAACTATAGGAGGAACAAAATAAAACGAAAAAAAAAAACACTGGCTACAACATGGCAAAACCACTTTACAAGCATATTCTTGGAGAGTAGGAAAAAATGATTCTAATAAAATGGTAGTAAGCAAAGAATAGTTAATGGAAATCAATAACATAGTACTCATCATTACTAATGTAAAATGTATAGAATAGCACTTACAGTACCTAATAGTACCTTTATCTAGTGAGCTCTCTCTTTAAAAGTTTTATTTTAGTGAAATTAAACAGTATTTATGTGGACTGACTTGCTCAGCAACCACCCCCACCTACCTTTACTGTATTGTATTCCTCTATTGTAAAGATTGAAAGGGCAACAACTACATTTCCCAGACTTTTTTGCGGCTAGAGTATGGATACAATTGGCATCTATCAATTAGCTATCATTACAACAGGTTTAGAAGGCAGACATGAGGCAGAGGACATGTTCTTTTTCTTCCTGCTTTTACTACTAGCAAGGATGACACTGAGTTTTCTGCGGCAGGGTTTGATCCCCTGGGTGCCCAGAGGCCCTATAGTGACGGTGATGATGAGAGTTCTGGCATTGTATTCTGTTAAAGATTTTATTTTTCCTTTTTCTTCCCAAAGCCCCCTGGTACATAGTTGTGTATTTTTAGTTGTGGGTCCTTCTAGTTGTGGCATGTGGGATGCTGCCTCAGCATGGCTTGATGAGCGGTGCCATGTCCGCGCCCAGGATTTGAACCGATGAAACCCTGGGCCACCGCAGTGGAGCGTGCGAACTTAACCACTCGGCCACGGGGCCAGCCCCAGGGCAGTGTATTCTGAACTTAAAAGATCTAGCGGTTCTCTCCTGAGAGCTTAGCCCAGTGCCCACTTCTCTAGCCAGCCCCCTTCCAATGACTTAAAGTACCTTAATATTCTATATTCAACTCTTTTCTGTTTAGAATGGCTGGAGTGGGTTGTTTCCTGTAATTGGACACTCCCTGACACAGCTTTCATCTCTCTCCCTCTTTCTCCCACTTTCCTTAGTAGGTTTCAAGCTTCTCAATTGATTTCTTCCAATAAAGTGTTATAAAAACCCTCACAGCCAGAAAAAGATAATCTGCCTATTTGCTGGCAGATTATATTATATATTATATGGTAATCTATAATAATTTGGTCTGTGTTTCCCTTACTAGACTGAGAGCTCCATGAATGCAGAGAGTAGATTCAAGGCTCTTATTAAAGGTCTGTAGACTCCCCACTGCCCTTTGTCTACAGATTGTTGCCAGGGTTGGAGAATAGAGAGAAACTGCCTCGTGTGCTTGCAGTGCTCATCAGCAGAGGACAGCAACATCTTCTCAGGAAGCTCTGAGAGAGATCAGCAGAGGGACCAAGTGCAGTTCTGAGAGGCAGACCCCCAGGTTCCGGTGTATTCTGCCATTAATTTAGTGTGACATACCGTATACTTCATTCTGGCTCTTTGGGCATCAGTTTCCTCATCTGAAACATGTATTCTCCAATCACTTCCCACAATAAAATTCTATCATTCTAGACAAACAGTAGTATAAGAGAGAATGGGACATCGGCAAAAAGCAAATTGTTGAATGTAAGAAATGGTGAGATGAGGCTGGAAAGACTGATTAAGCCACAGGTGCAGCACTTTGTGTGCTATGTCACCGAGACTGCAGGTGATACAAAGCCAACAAAGTATTTTAAGTGGAAAGAGGAGGTCAGACTTGTTGACTAAGTGTAAAACCTTGGGGGCAGAATGTAAAAGATAGTGAAAGAGAGTACTGGAAGCAGCAACCAATGCCGATGGCTACCCCATTATTCCAAGTTTCTGAGGCCTGAACAAGCATGGTGGCAGCAAGAAAGGAGAAAAGGCGACAGAAACTTTCTGTGTATCAGGCCATGATCCTGTACCCTGTATTGGATACATTGGAAACTCAGTAAGTGTTAAGTCTCTTAATCCCTCTGACTTATCCTCCATTAAATTCCCCATAAGCAACATTTCTGTAGGAGAGGAAAGCAAGAAATCAGAGAAGGTATTAAGGAGAAGAGGGCATCTGAGCAAGGCCTCAGATTCATCCACTTCCTCATATAACAAACATTTACTGCTTATTATGTGTCAGATGCAGTTCTAGGTGTTGGGAATCTAGCAGCAAATAAAACAAATAAAAAAATTCCTGTCTCTGTAGGACTTATATTCTCCTAGGAAAGACAGAAAATAAACAAAATACACTGTTGAAGCTACATACAAAAATAAAGCCAGAAAGAGGGATAGAAAATGTTGAGAAGGGGCTGCAATTTTACATGAATGGCCAAGGAAGGCCTCACTGAGACAAAGCGATTTCAGCAAAGTCATGCCAGAAGTGAAAAATACTCCAGGCACAGGAACATCAGATCCAAAGGCCCCGAGGCCACAGTCTGCCTACATATCCAAGAAAAAGCAGAGAGGGCTGGTAAATGAGGGGAAGAGCAGGACTGCCAGGTGGAGCTTCGTAGCTGGGGAAGGGAGAAAGGAATCAGGTAAAGAAGGTGCATGAGCAAAGGGAATCACTTGTCGTTTGTTAAGGTAGGAAGAGAAAGGAAGCCAAGCCCTGCTGGAGAAAAGCCAGCATTGTGCCATCCAAGGCTCAGGAATTTTCTTCTTTATCTCTTTGTGACATCCTTTAGCTCCCTTGCAATGACCATCACTTCCAATCAAAGAGGATCAATTGCTATCATGATCCTCCATCCCTGCTTCAAGCAAGCCTGGAACATGCACGTTCCCACTTCAATACCTTTGTTCAAGTTGAAATATCCACCTGGACTTTGATTCCCACCTTTTTTTTTTTTTTTTTTAAGATTTTCTTTTCTTTTTTCTTTTTCGCCCCAAAGCCCCCTGGTACATAGTTGTGTATTTTTAGTTGTGGGTCCTTCTAGTTGTGGCATGTGGGATGCCACCTCAGCATGGCTTGATGAGCCGTGCCATGTCCATGCCCAGGATCCGAACCAGCGAAACCCTGGGCCGCTGAAGCGGAGCGTGCAAACTTAACCACTCGGCCACAGGGCTGGCCCCAATTCCCACCTTTCTGAAATCCTATTCATTCTACAAAGTTCTCCTAATTTCTTAGACAAATCTGATTTCTCCATTTCTAAACTCTCAGAACACTAGGGCCCTCAGAGCATTCTGCTTCATATACAGAGAGCTGCGAATCCCCTTAGCTGGGTTGTCAGGTCTTGTTGGACAGAAACTACATGTCATTTGCTCTGCACTTTCTGTACCTGGCAAGGGCTTGGTACAGATTTACTACTTGCGGAATTGAACTACCATTTTTGCTATGTAAGCACAGGACTGGGTGTGCAATACATACCCACCCTGGGCTTGAATGACTGGTAAACATGGAGTGTAGACAGGATTAACCAACAAACACAGCTGTGTTTCATACCTCACAGAGGAAGGATGGTGTAGAGGAAAGAGCATGGGCTTTAGATCCAGACATAGCTGGATTCAAATTCTGGCTCTGCGAGCTTATTAACTGTGTAACTCAGGGCATTTTACCTTCTGAGCTTCAGTTTCCTCATTTGTAAAATGAGTATGTACGTAATCTATTCATACCATAACATCACTTGTGGTAAGAATTAAATAAGATAATTAATGTACAAAAATGAGAATAGAACTTGGCACAAGGAGATGCTCACTAAATTACTGTCAATTACCTTGACAAGCCACATTTAAAAAATGTTAACTTGTGTCTAATTGAAAAGTTGCAAGCATATTTTGTTTTTGCAATATGGGGGCACCCCCTAAAATGGAATGTAAACCATATTTTTGTATTACATTTTATTTTCAATGAGATAACAAAAAAACCCAAGCAACTTTTGCAAAAATCAAAGCATTTTGTGCTATCCTTAAATTCATTTATCCATTGATTTTTCTCTTTTAAAAAATTCAGATTTTATAAATTAGACTTGTCAAAAGTGGGCTGCTTTGGTCTGAAAGTAAAAAATCAAAAATTGTTTCCCGATTTTGTAATTCATCTGGGATCTCAGTATCTTTAATACAGCAAAGCAAGACTGTACTTGGAGAAGACTTTGTCCCGAGATAAAACATTTCAAGGTCTCTCATACACAAAGGTTATGAGAAGGATGAGAACCTCAGGTGTCATTACGGAAGCTTACAATCCCAGAAGTAATGTCTATTGGTGGTGTGTTTCAGGAGAAATAAGGTGAAAGATAAACAACAGTTACCGTGAGCATGAGTTTTGTTTCTACTCCAAAACAATAAGGACGTACAGCACAAACTGACAAAGGCAACACAGAGATGACAGGAGCCAAGCCAAGTAGGGGGGCCAAACCAAAAGATGTACACTGAAAGCTCGGGACTCAAGGCTGTGGTTGTCTGGCTCTCATAGCCATCGCACATCTCAAAACTGTTAATTCTAGCCTTTCAACAGATGAAAATTCGAGACACAGAGAGGTATAATAACTTGCTCAAAGTCACACACACACACAACTTATTGCCTGGGAACACATCTCTACTAGAATGTAAGCTCCACAACGGCATGATTTTTGTCTGTTTTGCTCATTGCTTTATCCCTAGCACACGGGTGGTGCTTGCACAAAGCAAATATTACTTAATTTTTGCTGTTGAATGAATGAATGATGAACGAATGAAATAGGGTCTCTGCTCTTAAACAGCTTCTATCTAGTGAAGAGGAAAACCATGCAAACAAACAACTTCAGTACCATGTGATATATGCTATGATAACAAGGTGCTAGGAAAGCAAACAGGAGCAGGGCCTTTATGTCAGGCAGACTTTCTGGTAAATGGTAATCCTTGAGCGTACTCTTAAGAGAGGAGTTGGAATTAGCCAGGGAAAAGAGAAGGGTGATGACAAAGGTAATATTTTAGAGATTACAAAGCTGAATAAAGGTACAGCAAGGGTTCTTTGTGCCATGGACTCCTTCGGCTGTCTGTTGAGGTCTACGGGCCTCTTTTTTTTTATTTTGAGGAAGATTAGCCCTGAGCTAACATCTGCTGCCAATCCTCCTCTTTTTGCTGAGGAAGACTGGCCCTGAGCTAACATCCATGCCCATCTTCTTCTACTTTATATGTGGGACGCCTGCCACAGCATGGCTTGACAAGTGGTGCCATGTCCGCACCAGGATCCAAATTGGAGAACCCTGGGCCACTGAAGTGGAATGTACAAACTTAACCGCTGCACCACCGGGCCGACCCCAGGCCTCTTCTTTTAATAGTGTTTTTTTTTTTAAATGCATAATGTAAAATGCACAGGATTACATAAAAATCAAATTATATTGGCATAGTTATCAAAACACTAAAAACACTTTCTGATATGGTAAAGTATGTGCTTTATTGATGCATAACAAGATCTAACTGTAGGTTTAATAACTACTCTAATTTTGAAGTAATGATAGGTATAAATGATATTCCAAGATATGTGCAATAATTACAATGTGACATGAAAATACCTGTGATTTCTATTATTGACAATATCACAGGTACTGTTAATATTACTACGGTCTACTGCCTACATTCACAATTGAAGGAAATGTTAAATTTTAGTCAGAGGTTAATAAAAGTCAGATGTAATTATTTTCCTGTGCAAGTTCACCAACCCTGACTTTTATCCTTGGATCCCTTGGGGGTTTTATGGATCCAGTGCTAGGAACTCTTGGCTGTAGGCGCATAATGAAGAGGGCCTGAGTTGGTAGCAATGGAAAAGAAGGACGAGATCTAAGAGAAATTTAAGAGCTAGAACAATTTAATGGATCTGATGATTTGATGGCGGATAAGGAAAAGAGAAGTATTTAAGCTGATACTCAGTTTTTGGACTCGGGAATTTATGATATACAAAATTAGGATAACTTACTAGGTCCACTTAAGTTCAGAAACACTTTCATGTTGGTTAAATCTTTAGGCTTGAGAAATATAATAATTATTGACTAAGATGGTTAACAGTTCTTATAGATCCAGCCATGATTTGAAAGATTTCTGAGGGGCTGGCCCAGTGGTGTAGCGGTTAAGTTTGCGTGCTCTGCTTCGGTGGCCTGGGGTTCACCAGTTTGGATCCTGGGCGTGGACCTGCACACCGCTCATCAAGCCATGCTGTGGTGGCATCCCACATACCAAACAGAGGAAGACTGACATAGATGTTAGCTCAGTGAGAATCTTTCTGAAGCAAAAAGAGGAAGACTGGCAACAGATGCTAGCTCAGGGCCAATCTTCCTCACCAAGAAAAAAAAAAAAGGTAGATTTGTGAAGACAGGACCATAGCCTGAAGAGTCAGATACATGTTCCTGGATAAGTGAACACAGCATACCTTTCAAGCTCAAGTGCATTGCTCTTTCTACCAGGATACTGACTGCGAAAGTTCCATCCAACTCAGCAGGGCACTCCTGGGCCGGGCAGACTTCAGGTGTGGTGCTGTTGCAGGGGACCTGGGCGGAGGCAGGAGACTCCTGGTGGCCAGGTGATAGAGAGAGCTGGATCTCAACATTCCTTCTGGGGAGCTGCTCAGACTCACTGTGGCTGCTGCAGTCCATGGAGTCCAGTTCAGGAGTGGGCCCAGGATGTCGAGAAAGAGAGGAAAGAACCACATGAACTCGCAAGGCAGCTCCTAATAGGTTGGAGGCATTTCGTCCGAATAGAGGGTACACTCCTGTAAGAGGATGGAGGAGAATAAGCCTATAAGAATAAGCAGGAACCAAGAACGTTGTCTAACCCTGGAGGAGATGCTCACTGACGGTGCTTGTGGTCCTGTCTCCTTTGGCAGTCCTACAGGCCCCAAGACACCAGTTTAGAAAAGAAACTGTGAAGTTAGCATACAGTGTAAGAATTTTTACTCCCCTCTCCTCAACACACAGGCTCTCTCTAATAATGGAAAGCAGTCAGAGTTCTGATTTGAAGCCAAAGCCAAATGACTCTGAGGCAGAGCCGCTGTGGAAGGGATTCACGTGCTGAGGGGCAACTAGGCTTGGATGACTCTCGAAGCCTCTGGAAAGTCTAAGATTGGATGGAATCAGGAGTGGCCTGTCTTCTCTTCCACATGTCCCACTGGCTCTTGTTCTTAGGGCTTCTCATTATTAGCAAGCTGCCCTGGTGCTCAATTCAGCCTGTCTCACCCACTAAACATGTTCTGGCAGGAGGCCTCAAGATCATCTGGAAGGGAAGTAGAGGTGGTGGCAGTAGGAGACAAGAAAGGAAAGTCAGGGAATTAATACTTGTTGAGTGTTTTTCATGTGCCAGAATCTCAGCGGGGTTAAGTAACCTGTAAGATTACTTTTCTAATAAGTGGAAGATTTAAACCCAGGAATTTGAGTTTTACTGGCTTGCTGGATATTAAAATGAGATTTTATTTATAAAGCAGAAGGCACAAATAGTTCCTTCAGAATCTCAAAGTTTGCTTCATTAGACTCATTTCAGTTCAGGAAAATGGAGTTAACTGATTCACAGATGGTAATAAGATGGAAGCTCTTCTGTCTTTTTCTGTTTTTAGATAAGCTGTTTTCTTCCAGTGTAAAATGTAAATTATTATAATTATCACAAACAGAAAATAAGCGCAAGTCTGAGGAGGGAAGACACCCAAAAGCAACACATTTAAATCCTTATGCTCATAAAACTTAACAGTACCTGGAAGGATGGGTGGATGGATGATTAGATGGAGTGACTGACTCAACAATACATCAAATGCCACGCCTTGTACAAGGCCCTTTTACAAGAGGATAAAAATCTTAGACTGGTGGGATATGGAGAAGTATGAGGGAAATGGACAATCTGAAAAGTTAAATATCACCTTTGGTATCCTCAGTAATAAGAGGTATCTGTGCTTGAGTCTGATCCTTAAATCTATATTCAGTGCCTCAAGACTACTTTCTTCAGCAGAGTAAAGTTTAAAGCCTGTCTTTACGAACTTTAGTTCAAGTGAGCTTTGCTCACTTCCAGGACTTTTTCTGCAGTCTCTTTGAAGTGACTCTAAGCCAGGCCAGATAAAATAGGGCACATGGCATTTGACGAGGTGTTCAAGAGAGCCAGAACTAAACCTTCTGGGTGCAGAGACAACCAGAGAATCTGGGATGATCACCCAGACACTCAGTTCTCCTCCTTTAGCTTGGGCCACCTGCTCAACAACAGGGTCAGAGCACAAGGTGAACAGAGCTAAGACAGGATTGTGACCCAGTTTCTTCAACTGTGTAGTGGGGGAAATAATAACTAACCTTACAGGAGTGTTAAGATGAATAAATATCCAGTTTGTAAACAATCTAGTCTGGCCATCTCCAATTCATTCTGCATTATGGTTGCTAGACTTATTTTTCTAGAATGCAAAGTTACGTCACTCTTCTATTCAGAACACCTATAATAGCTTTCCAGAGCTCTCAGAAGAAAGTCCAAATTTTCAGCTGAGCAGAGGCCTTGAACATAGTACTCCTGCCCACCTCTCTAGCTTCAGCTGTCATTTCCCAACATATGTATCCTATGATCCAACAGTATCTAATTACTTACAGTGCCTAAAATGTATCAAACTGCTTCATGCCTCTGTGCCTTCACACACGTTGTTCCCATGTTTAGAATGCCCTTCTTTCCCCCTTTCTTTGCTTATTCCTAAATCCTTTGAAACTCAGGTCAAGCATTACTTCCACTGAGATGTTATGCTTAAGCCAAAGAGATGCTGCATCACTGAGCCCCCCTTAGCACCACTGATAATACCTTTTTCATGGTTCTTACACTTCATTGTAACGGTTTATTTACTATTGTATTCCCCCATTAGACTTTAAGCTTGTTAACTATTTCTTACTCATCTGTGAATTCCCACAGTCAGTAGATGTATCAAGTACTGAACAAATGTTTGAAAGAAAAGCATCTAACACGATGCTGCTTGCAAGTTACCTTTTTCCTTTCTGCCTTGTGAACCAGCTTATTACCATGTAGACTTTTTAATAATTCTAAAATGTGCTGACCAGAAGGAAACAATATCTTAGTCTCATTAGCAGGCATGCTTTTCAGTATATTTGAAAAACTACCATTCTAGGGGCCAGCCAAAGTGGTTAAGTTTGCGTGCTCTGCTTCGGCAGCCCAGGGTTCCCAGGTTTGGATCCCAGGCGCAGATCTACCACTGATCAAGCCACACTGTGGTGGTGTACCACATACAAAATGGAGGAGGACTGGCACAGATGTTAGCTCAGTGACAATCTTCCTTAAGCAAAAAGAGGAAGATTGGCACCAGATGTTAGCTCAGGGACAATCTTCTTCACCAAAAAGAAAAGAAAAAAGAAAAAAAAAACAACTAGCATTCTAGATATCACACAGACTCTTATACATGTGGTTAAAGGTAGTGCCCCAAATTCACTCATTTCTATTTTACTCATTTAACTGAGTGCTTACAATGTTCTAGGCATGATGTTAGAAGCAAAAATATGATGAATTTGGATGTACTCTAAAGCTACAAAGTTCAGAGCCAGTTCTCAGATCTGCAGTCACTCCACCAAGGTTTACTGTTACTAGGTAATGCTCTTTTCCAAGCAACCAGTGCATCACTTTCTTTCTGAAACCTCTTTAGTTACAAGAAGCATTACTAAATTATCATTAATCTTTCACCATGCAATAATGGAAAGAACACTTACTAGCTTGTGACTCTGGGCAGTTACTCAACCTCTCTGAGCCTCCATTTTCATGACTGTAAAATGGATCTGATAGACCAGCTAGTGCCCCTTGAAAACCACGTGTCCTTGAGGCACCCTGTCTGGGCTACGTGCCAGCACTCAGGATGCTAACAGTCCTGGGCTAGGTTAACCCAGCTGTTTCCTTGCGGGAGAGTTAGTGCAGAGACCCTCGAGGCCCTCCAGGGTGGGGTTGGGGAGGACAGGCTCTGGTTGTTGGAATGCAGGTCATACAGGGGCAGTCCCCCTTGGCAAGCAGACAGCCTTTGTTCCTCTGCCTACTTAAGAAAGCTTCTCTCAGGCGGTGGCAGCGGATGCACATTGCCTGTCCAGTCAGCTGCCACTGGACCTTCCCTGCAACTTTCCAATAGACCCATATGTCTCGTTTGCTGTCTGTGGGTCTTTTCTTTGGTCTCTGGGAAACCTATCCTGCACTTCTCACCCAGCTGGCTGTGTGGTGGAACACTCTCTCACAGGATTGCTGAGAGGATCAAATAAAATAATGCCTGAGAGGGTATCTCACATAGGGTGTGTCACAGAGCTGCTGCTCAAACTATAAGAGTTGAGGCTGGTTCTTCACTTACCACTGACAGTTAGTGTCCTTGTTGACCTCTCCCCAAGTCTGGCCAGGTCCACATAAGCTGAGCCAATCCAGCTGTCTGTCTGGTGGGGCCTCTCCACACTGTCATTGCCAAAAGCCCGCCACACTTGGATCTCTAATCTCTCCTCCCTGAAATACCAAAGCAGTGATGGGCCCCTAGTGACTTCTGCTCTTTTGGATGCCTTGAAAGTAACCATGACCTGCTTTTTGTTTGTAGATTCCTTAGGCTTCTTGAGAGGGGTCCAAAAGCCTTCATGATCATACAACTTGTAGCGGAGGTAGCAGTATGTATTCTTATGAATGTGCTCCTGACCAGCAAAGAGCACACAATGGATGGGCAGCCAGAGCCTTGGGGTAGAGACGGTGACAGTGGCTGGCTCTGTTTCATCCATCTTGACAAGATCCTTCAGGTTATTCTCAAAGCTCCAGCCCAACAGCTCAGCAGCTTCCAAGACCCGCTCTCTGTCTCCAGGATGGGTGAAGGAAACCGAAAGCTCCAGACCACCCACAATCTTCTGCATGAGCTCCAAGCCATGAAGCAGGGGCCCATCTTCTGGTAAAATGATAGGATACCATCCTGTGATCCCTTATGGGAGAAAAAAAAGATTTTCAATTACTGTCTTAAAAGTAAAAGGACTTATCCACTTCTCACCCCAGAGCCCCATCACCTAGGACCAAGACAGAACAGAAAACACACCCACAGTGTACCGGTTTGTTTCATCTGACCACTGAAAGGCAATGAGATCAGGTGGAAGATCAAAGGCTACGAATTGAAAAATCTGAGTTCTCTCTCCTGGGTTCAGCCCCAAACTAGTGGTTCAGTCTGGGTAAGCCATGAATTTCTCTCAGCCTTGGTTTCCTTACCTGACAAATGGGAAAATGCTGATTTTGCCTACCAAAGTTGTAATGATCATCAAATGAAATAATGGTTTTGTAAGAGCTTAAAAGAGGTGTTTTAAAAAATATGAAATGCTATTATGGTTCTATGAGTACAGTGGAAAAGACATGGGACAAAAAGTCAGGAGATCTGAGGTCTAGCCCCGCATCTGCCACCAAAGGAACTGCCACTTAGTGAACACACCAAAGACTAAGGACTAGATTTCAAAATAATAATAGCTACTCATTATTGAGTATCGACTATGTGTCAGAAATTCCCCTAGAGCTTTATATATATTACTTCATTTAATTCTCCTGATAACCCTGTGAAATTCTGAGGATTAAATGGGATAATAATCCTTTTTAACAGATGAGAAAATGAAAGTTCAGAGACCTGCCCAAGTTACTATAGTTGCCAAATGGTAGAGTTAGGATTTGAACTCAGGTCTAGCTGGCTCCAAAGTCTATACTCCACCCACCACAGGTTCACAATATCTCATCTGAAACCCTCAGCGTCAGATCTGTTTCTGAATTCAGAATTCTTCAGATTTCAGAAAGGTAATACTGTACATAAACGGAATATTATGTAACAGTCAGTGGTCCTATAAGTCAGGGGTTGGTAAACTTATTCTGTAAAAGGCTGGATAGTAAAAATTTCAGGCTTTTGGGCCATACAGTCTCTGTTCCAACTATTCAACCATGCTGCTGTAGTGAGAAAGTGGCTACAGACAATACGTAAATGAGTAGACATGATGTGTTCCAAGAAAACCTTATATAATCAGGCAGTGGCCTCAGTCAGAAAATGAAGATTAGGGGCCAGCCGGCAGCGCAGTGGTTAAGTGTGCATGTTCTGCTTTGGCGGCCCGGGATTTGCCAGTTAGGATCCTGGGTGCAGACATGGCACCACTTGGCACGCCATGCTGTGGTAGACGTCCTACATATAAAGTGGAGGAAGATGGGCATGGATGTTAGCTCAGAGCCAGTCTTCCTCAGCAAAAAGAGGAGGATTGGCAGCAGTTAGCTCAGGGCTAATCTTCCTCAAAAAAAAAAAAAGAAAGAAAATGAAGATTAAATAGTCTCCTGTCAGCTGAGTCAGATTTGGCTGCTTAAGTTAATAAAAAACTTGATTTTCTGAGCTTTGTGGATGTCACAATTATGAAACAGATTGTGGACTGGTATAATAATATTCACTGCAATTTTCTGGGGAAGGTTTTATTAATTATACTTCATAGATGAGAAGATTTGGACTTATTGAGATTAACATGCCAAAGGTCACGTAAGGTTTTATGACTTATGAAAAAGGCATTTAATTTTTCTGGGCCTTCTCAGTTTTTGTCTGCAAAATGAGGAGGCTGCACTCGTTGGTCTCTAAGACTCCTTTGCTTGGTCAGTCTAAGAACCTGTGGCCTTGGCTTTAGTAATTTCTCATCTCTGGGTACTGATTTCCCCACAACCTAGTGGTTCTTAACATTTTTTGGTCACAGACTCCTTTAGCTCTAATGAAATTTATCCCCAGAAAAACGCACAAACACAAAATTTCACACCATTTCAGCACTTCAGAACTGCTGGATTAGATGGTTCCTTTTGCTCTGTGATTCTATAATTGGGATTATTAGCTGGAGAAAACAAAACAGAATAACGCTGAATACAAAGACAAACGACATATCCCATACTGTCTAAGAGGTTTATTTCTAAGGGGTTAAATTTAATTTGTAGAGATAGGATTTCCTGGATGGTGCCTGTTCCCTGACAAACTCTGTAGTAAGGTTCAGAAGGAAGGAAACTGAGGTGTCCCGTGTGCCCAGCCCCATACCAAGATCTTTCAGATGTATAATTTCATTGAATGCTTCAATAATCTTGCAAAGGAGATCTTACTATTTCCATTTTTATAGATGAGGAAACTATGGATCTGAGAGATGAAGTGACTTGTTCTAGATCACAACCAGTGACAGAAGTGAGCTCTGAACCCTATATTAAGTTGTACAGACTTCTCTCTGGCAGGCATACAGTATCTGTTTATTCGAGTACTGCTCAAATTTCAATTCACATTGAAACTTGGGAGATGTGTGATAGAATTCTGGAAACTAGATTACACAATCCTAAGGAGGAAGATGGGCAAGAGAAGGAAAGCTAACATTTACTGAGTACCTACTATGTATCAGGTACTTTATATATGCCATTTCACCAATTCCTAGCTTGTAGACTTGTCAGTAATAACCGTCTCCATCCACGAGCTAAGAAAACTGGTGCTCAGAGAGGTCAAAGTCACTTTGTCAATAGTAATAAGTAGCTAGTAGTAAGCAGGATGGGATCAATATTTCCAGACTGCCTTGGTGGTTGTGCCTTTTTTTGGGTCTTTACTCCATACCCTTATTCCTTCTTCAGTGAGAGAAAAGAGTATAGTGAAAAAGAAGGGCTGAATCTGGATTTGATTTTCAGTCCAGTCATGCACCACATAACGACTTTTTGGTCAACAACAGGCTGCATATACAACAGTGGTCTCATTAGGTTAGTACCAGATAGCCGAGGTGTATAGTAGGCCATATCATCTAGATGAGTGTAACTATACTCTATGATGTTCACAAAATGATGAAATTGCCTAACGATGTATTTCTCAGAATGCATCCCCGTTGTTAAGTAAGGCATGACTGAACTGCACTCACTAGCTGTGTGGTTTTAGCAAATCACTTAACCTCTGTGAGCCTCAGTTTTCTCATCTGTCAAATGAAAACAAGATCCTGTATCCCCGCCAAGTAGGGTTATCATGAGTCTCAAATAAGATCTAATAAAACATTTTACAAAGCGCTATATAATGTAACAGGTATCACCATATTTATTATTAGTAGTATCCTCATCATCTTTCCTGGAGTAAGATGACAGTACAATGTTTTGAGCTTCTCTGCTTTATTAGAAGGCCTCTAAAATGATTAGGAGAGGACCTAAAACGCTTTTGAGAAAACTTTGGAGGTAGCTGGGAGAAGCCAGAGCATGTGACAAGGTGTCATATTTTCTTTTGCATATCTTGCAAGGGAGCCAGACAAGATGATCTTCTGAAGAGAAATGAATGAAAAGAGTAGGATTAGAAAGTGACGATCCAGGATCCTTACCAGATCTCTTGACCAGCAGCTCTTTCATTGGAACCTTTACTACTCCAAGCAGATACTCTTTCAATGAGTGGATACTGGCTATACTACTAGCTGTTAAATCAAACAAAAAAGAGAAATTATTTGGTAGTCTACTGACCAAAGGGCTTGTGTTTACAGTATATCCACATAACCCTCCATTTACACTCACTAAATCTCACTAAATCACCACTGTTGGAAGATACATTAGAGATAATTTTACTCCAGTCAAAGCTTCAATGCTTTCTAAATAATTTTTAATTAGATCATTAATCATTTATATGTATATATAGAGAGAGATATTTAAATCACTTTATTTTGAAAAAAGTTCAGGTGTACAGAAAAGTTACAAGAATATTACAATGAACTCCTAATACCCTTCACTTGGATTCATGCACTAACATCTTGACACATTTGCTTTCTCTCTCTCTCCATTCTCTCACACACACATACTCACATGCACTCAATACACATTCTACTTATTTTGCTTCAGAAGTAAGTTGCAGAGAATATGACCCCTCACCCCTCAACACTTCAGCATGTATCTCCTAGGGAGGGCTATACCATTCAAAACAGAGACCCTTTTAATTTTGATTGTGATGAGTCATTTGGTGCTTACCTGACTTAGTATCTTCATGATAAATAGCAAAAGTGACCTCTGCAAACTCCAACAGCTCTGCCAGGAAACAGGCCTCTCCACTGCAGCGCTGAGTCACCAAGTTGCATGAGAACTCAATGTGATGGGAGAACTCAGGGCAGAAGGAACAGGCCACAGGGCGGGTGCGGCGCTGTTCTCCCTTGGGCAGGAAGGAGAGATGAGTGGTAACAAAGGCATTGACCCCGACCGTAGCGCTAAACTGTAGAGCTGGTTCCTGCTCAGCCAAAGCCCTGCAGGGAAGAAGCATGGGAACAAAAAGAAGGTAATATCAGAAATCAGCTTGACTGCCTAGAAAAACCTCTCCACTATACTATGAGGCCATCAAGAACATTAGCTGACCAGTTTCCTATCTGGGCTTTCGGCAGTGCCACAATGTACTTTCTTGGTAATCTAGATATCACAGTGTATGTGTATGAGGATGGGCGGAGACAACATTCATCTGCCTATCAGAGTGACACTCCAAGGATGCTCCATTGTATTGTCAACGTTCCTCAGCCAAAGACCACCAGAAACCAACTGTAGTAGAACAAGTGGGGTTTGCTGTTCATCATAATGAGGTAGAACACACACCGTGGAGAATCATGGGGCACTTTAGTAAGAAGGTAACAGAAATGACTGATAGCACTGGGCTCAGGTTAGCTGATTTGGAGGCATGTTCAAGGAAGCAGGGCTTTGCTCTGGATTGGTAATCTTAAGTAGGAGGAGGAAAGACTAGAAAAAGGCTAAAGCTGTAACTGGGAAAGCAGCAGCCGCCACTCATTTTAGCTAGGATGAGGGGATGCTGGGTATATTTGTGGTTTTCATAATCACCTTGTTTTGGTTTGTACTTAGACAAGATTACGGAGTAGTCTTATTTTTGTCTCATTTGTAATGGTCACAGAGCAATCCTGTCTGATGCTGGTGTTCTGTGAGATTATTTACTCTCAACAGGAAAACACCAAAGCCTAGCTATGAGTGTTAGATCAGTTCCCATATGTCAGGGGCTGCTTTTCCCTTTCTCAGCACAGATGTTCCAAGATGTAGAGAGACAATCTGTACATTCTGCACATTTATAAAGAGTAGTCAAATCTTTCGTGTGTGGGTATAGTGTGAGACAAATTCCTTTATCCCAAATTCCCCAAGGGTATAAAATTGCATTTAGGCAAAGAGGTCACCTCTTTTTAAAGCTTTCCCTGATAGCCCCAAAGTAGACTTAGGGGTTGCTTCCCCTAAGTTCCTTACTGTACTTAATAATTTGGAGTTATACAGATCTGAGTTTAAATCCTGGTTCCACCATTTACTTAAATGTGTGACCTTGGACAAGTTATTCAACCTCTTCCAAGTTTCAGTTTCCTCTTCACTAAAATGAGCACAGCATAAGGATACAACAGATACTAAAGATGTATGCGTATTTGGAAGCTTATTGCAATTTTATTTCTAATGAAATTAATTAACCCAAAATGATCAATAGTAGATTGGTGTACATCCATACAACAGCATACTATGAAGTGTATATTATGCCTAGGAAAAATGAGATGGAAATAAATCAAATGTTAGCAGTGGCTAAAAAATGATAAAATACTCAGAATGTTGTAAAAATTACACTAGATAACATATACAAAGCAGAGAACCTGCCTATGGGCAGTGAAAGGACTCTTAATAGGAAAATCTCAGAGATGGCAGTGAAATGACAAAAGAGTCTAGGCCCCAAGCTGGTGTGTATTCATTCATTCAATAATTATTTATTTATTTTTTGAGGAAGATTAGCCCTGAGCTAACGTCTGCTGCCAATCCTCCTCTTTTTGCTGAGGAAGACTGACCCTGAGCTAACATCCATGCCCATCTTCCTCTGCTTTATACGTGGAACTCCTACCACAGCATGGCGTGCCAAGCAGTGCCATGTCCGCACCCGGGATCTGAACTGGCAAACCCTGGGCCACCAAAGCAGAATGTGCAAACTTAACCACTGCGCTGCTGGGCCGGCCCCATTCAATAATTATTTGCTGAGCATCTGCTCTGTAAATCATGCACTGGGTTCAGCACTAGATATAAAGCAGTAAAATAGCTACAATTTCCTACCCTCGCTGAACTTAAAAACTACTAGCTATGTCCAAGGAAGCTTCTACTCATTCTCAGTTAAAGATCAGGTGAGTTAGAAGACTCAAGTGAGAAAGAAAGAAGTGACTTCTTTACACAGACAGTGACAGTGTACTTTCAGGAAGACCACTGGCACACAAAATGAGGGCTGGTGTTTCTTGATGACAGAAGGCTAACTTCAGAGCACCTGCTATTTGGATACCAGAGTGAAGATTCAAAGGAGGGGTAAGTTTATAACACCAAGAATTCCTCTCTTCAATAAGAGGTAATGTAAAATTTATTTCTGATTTTACTATATTCTACTGACTAATAAAGGTAACATTAATTATCTATATAAGTGGAAGTAATCATAAAAATCTGTACATTTGGATAGCAGTTGGTAATCTATTAAGTGACTTCATATTTGTTCATTTTTACTCTGATTCTTATAAAATCAGGGGAGGTGTTCACAACTTCCATTTTCCCAGGAGGAAGAAATTGACACCCAGAGAAGGTAAAGAAACTAGCCCAAGATCATGCACAGCTACTGGGAGAAGGAGGTGGGACTAGAAGCCAATGCGTCTGATTTCTAGCGCAGTTCTGTTTCCATTATACCATCCTTTGCCTTATATCCTGTGGAACTCCCTCAGCCTACCAGAAGAATGCCGTGTTAGAACTGGCCTGGCTTCTTGCCCTTCCTTCTTGAAACTGAAACACTGACCAAATGCAGAACTTCCAACAAACTGCTTGCCATCCAATCTGACTTTCCCCATGAGTCCCCAGAGAGAGGAACTACTGAGTTTCTCATCTATTCAGTCTTTCTGAGATCTACTGAGTATCTAAATTCCAAGTCCTTCTCTGCCAATTAAATAGTAGTTAATTTAACGCCATATTTAAGAATGGTTGCCTCTTACACAAAACAGGTACTCCATATACATAAGTTTCATGCCTTCATGCCTTTGCACATGTTCTTCTCTTTAACCAGAATAATTTCCAGCTCTCTTGGGCATTCTGATAACTCCTACTCGTCTTTCAAGATTCACATTAAGATATTTTGAAGGGTCTTGAATGTCAAGTTGAGCAGGTTGGACCTTATCCTGTGGCCCAGTAGTCCCTCAAAGTAGATTGTGTACAACCTGGAGGGCTCACAGAGTAAACTATTTGGGCATAGGAAGAAAATATTAAAATTTCTCTATTTTTTTTTTAAAGATTTTATTATTTTCTTTTTCTCCCCAAAGCCCCCCGGTACATAGTTGTATATTCTTCGTTGTGGGTTCTTCTAGTTGTGGCATGTGGGATGCTGCCTCAGCGTGGTCTGATGAGCAGCGCCATGTCCACGCCCAGGATTCGAACCAACGAAACACTGGGCTGCCTGCAGCGGAGTGCGCGAACTTAACCACTCGGCCACGGGGCCAGCCCCTAAAATTTCTCTATTTTTTCTCTTATATATTAAAGTTGTACAACTCTAGGATATACTTTATAATGTATTTAATATATTAGTATAGCAGTACGTGAAGATGATTTATACATGAATAAGTATAGACATATTTGGAGGGTATGCTAAATTTTAATTTTTCTATTAATAGGAATGCACAATTAAAATTACAAGATCAAGGGCTGGCCCGGTGATGCAGTGTTTAAGTGTGCACATTCCGCTTTGGTGGCCTGGGGTTCGCTGGTTCAGATCCTGGGTACAGACATGGCACCACTTGGCAAGCCATGCTGTGGTAGGCGTCTCACATATAAAGTAGAGGAAGATGGGCACGGATGTCAGCTCAGGGCCAGCCTTCCTCAGCAAAAAGAAGAGGCTTGGCAGCAGTTAGGTCAGGGCTAATCTCCCTCCAAAAGAAAAAAAATAATTACGAGACCACTGCTACTGACAATGGGAAAACATGAAAAGTTTTAATACGAGGGAGTGACATGATTAAAAAACTACCCTGGTATCACTTACACTAACACTAAAATGTTCTCGGGCAATTACTGAAAATGTCTATTTGGAGAATTTAATGAAGAAAAACATTAACTAGTCTGAACATTTTACCAGCTGTTTCAGCGTCAAATCTCACATGGGCAGTTATTCAATTAGTCATTTAGAAACCATGAAGTTAAAGGCAAACAATCCCACTCTGAGTTACAACAAGGGAAAAGGTTAAGGAGCACTTGCTTCTTCTTTCTTAAACTTGTGTCTGGGGCCGGCCCTGTGGCCAAGTGGTTAAGTTCGCGTGCTCCGCTTTGGCGGCCCAGGGTTTCACTGGTTCAGATCCTGGGCGCAGACATGGCACCACTCATCAGGCCATGCTGAGGTGGTGCCCCACATGCTACAACTATAAAAAAATATACAACTATGTACTGGGGAATTTGAGGAGAAAAATCAGAAAAAAAAAGAAAAAAGAAGATTGGCAACAGTTGTTAGCTCAGGTGCCAATCCTTAAAAAAACAAACGTGTCTGAAGTGAACTAGTCTACAGCAGGAGCATGACCTAGTCCTCTTTCTCACTGGGCACGTGTTATGTGCCAGAACTATGCTATGTGTTTGGGGGGCAGACACAAGTTCAGGCAGTGCTTGTGACCAGAGGAACTCACAGCCTAGTGGAGGGAACCTCGTGTATGCAAATAATTGAAACTGAGTGATGTGTGCTGCAACCAAGATGCTAACAGACAAAGGACAAAGCACCAATTCTGTCTGCATATAGGGAGAGATTAAGGAAGGCTGCAAAGAAGCTGCAAACTCTTGAAAGAAAATAGGCATTTGTTTAGCAGACAAAAAGAAGAACATTCAAGGTAGGGAGAAGTATGAGCAAAGATACTGAAGGAGGTAAAGGAAGGGCACGTTGTTTATATACAGAAACAGTGTTTCAGGCAGAGAAAAAAGTAAGACAAAGGCCCTGAGGGGGACATGAGCTTGGTGTGTTCAGAAGCAATAAAATGCCAGTGCCCTGAAGGGAGCAGCAGAGGGGAGACTAGCAGGAGGAGATGAGGTCAGAAAGATATCAGGGTCAGATCACGTGGGTTCTTATAGCCATTTTAAGGGGTCTAGCTTTTACTTTATTTTTAAAAATTTCTTTTTATTGAGTTAATGATAGGTTACAATCTTGTGAAACTTCAATTGTACATTAATGTTTGTCATTCGTGTTGTAGGTGCACCACTTCACCCTTTGTGCCCACCTTCCACCCCA